TTTGTGGAATTCGCCTATCATTGACCGAATAAGTTTAGGGCCGTGGGAGTGATGTTTAGGTGTATCGCTTAGGAGAGGGCGGTGGGGTTCCGTAAATAGTAGTCTCTTCTTGGAATGATCAAAATATATTGTGAATTCGAACTTGAAATTCAGGGGTCGGCCAGACTGAAGACAGTCGAATGCCTTAAGGTCGGAAGTGTTGACAAAACGGAGTAAGCAGTTTACTTCTCATCCTATCGGGCTCCATCTTATGGTCTAGAACAAATTGCCAACATTTCCGATCTCCCGACGACTTCGATTATCAGGAGAGCCCCCACAGGAAAAGTCTGGAGCAACTGATCGTCGGGCGTCAGCATAGTGCCGGGGTATCTCCGATAGGGCCCAACGCAGACACGGGGATGGGCACGAATCCAGACACTCCACATAATCTGACAGCTTCCATATCATCCCTGTTGGAGGCCCATTGTCCATGCTTTCTCTGGGACGTCAATGGTATTTTAAAATTCACAATGGGGCACTGCCACTAGTTCTGGGAGATAGGCTGTCAGTCAGGGCTGGTCCGCTTGATAAATTGCGGCGCGCGGTAGAGCGACACAAGGATCGCTTCTTGAAACGCGCCCATATTTGCGGATACTGGGCGCTCGTTTAGGAAAGGTTACTTTTTACTGTGAGTGGTAATCTGAGAGGTGACATGCGACTCTAGGTTTAAAGCGGTAGCGGTAGGGGTGTTATCGCTTCGTATTGTTGATTCGTGTTGTGGTGTTGGGTATTCTACCTTGGATGTACTCTGCGGGAATTGGGTGTACGGGCGGTTGGAGTACGCAACTAACCTGGGTGAGTAACAGACCTGCTGTTTAGAGACTAGGGATTATCTGTTGACATCTGTGTGTCATGGCGTTAGACTCGGGAAGACCGGCCACGTTTTCTGTCAGACCGACATACCACCATGGGAGCAGAAGCAGGGATGGGGGCGATAATTTGGAATACGATGAGCAAAGGGAAAGAAGGCTAGGGGGTGTCGAGTCGAGGCGCATCCTTGCTCGAGATGCGCATGGGGGCCATGGGATCCCTGTCAACGATGGAATTATGAAATTATGGAACCATGGGGGGTTTTTTTTTTCTGTATGAAGGAGTGTGAGACATGGGGTTGAAACAGATGCGAACCAGTTTCAAAGGAAAATGCAAATGCGAATGTCAGATCTGTGATTTTGCCACTCCCGGGTGAGAACTGTGCTACAATAGAAGAATGCTGCAGATTATGAGACTCAGCATGAAGGTGATCGCTTGTCTGGGATCCCCGGACTCCCAGTCCTAGGCTTAGGCCAAGGGACCGTCGATCGATGCTTGGCGTGTCTCAAAATAGAAGCACATTTCGCCGCGGCCATGTGGGTGACAGGGGCCGTCAACTAGGAAGGAGGGGGTTCGATAGGGCTACAAGCGACAGCTGGGTGAGTGGGTGTTGATGTTGGGATCGGCGTGGGCCGGCGTGATGCATGACTCTGCCTTTGATATTATTAGATAATTGACGGCGTCTATTGCTTGTTCATTGTTGGCTGTGTTTCTTGACATGTTGGTTTGGCTTACAAGCCTCGATATTCTTAGATCTTGCATGGTATTGGTATTCTTGGAGAGGCCGAGACGTGAATGGAGATGTATTCCAATTCCAGACGTACTGTGTACGGTCGCAGTGCAATATAGTCTACACTAGCACAACCTCAATAGGCAGGTGTATGCACGGGGTAGAGAGTAAGGCAAGGTTAGAACTGTGGAGTTCACCCGGGTGTCATCCATGGTTGAGCTCAGGTCATTGGGCCATGCGTTTTCTGCTTTGGGTATCGTGTTTGGCCGGGAGTGCAGACTGCTATACATTCATTTATGTTCATTACGGATTATATCAGCAATTTATCTGATTATCACATGGACCTTGTTGCGTCCGTCCCAAGCGAGAATTTGAAGTTAAATTTTGAATTTGAATTTGAATTTGAGTCCCCACTCGTGATCTCTGGCCTGAAAACGCTGGCGTCGGAGTCGCCGATCTCACCCAAGGAACGGTGCGGTACGGGCGTAACATTCCCGAGTCCATGGTGACGGAGGGTGGAGGGACTCTGGCGCACGCACCCTATTCATCCTTACCCTTTTGTCACGCTATGTTTCGCCCTATCAGGGAGATGAGGCTGTTGGGGGCCAGAAGAGGATACTCCATCGAGGGGCATCACTGGGCGGAAGGAAAAAACTCCATCACAACGTGCAGTTCTCAAATGGCCCTTTCTTGGGTCTGACTGGCTGGTCACTCTCAGCCCTGTGTTTCAGAGTCTAACGAAACAGCGACAAACGTTGGACGTTACTCTCACGCATTGACACAGCCCGAGTTGTGGGTTGCGGAATGCACTTGCGGGTGCAAATGCGGGCCTGGACTTGAGCTTGTACACGCACTTAGGACATGTCCGACCGCTAGTAGATCGCTTGTCTAGCGTGATGGTTCCCCAGAAGGAGTGTGGCACTATTCACTCTCGTTACACATATACACACTTACACCAAATACGAGATCCAAGTGATCTCATGCCGTCACGCATTGGGGCCGGCCTCGCCGACAAATCCCAGCGGTGAAAAGCGCATCTGCTGCGCCTCAATTCAGTGAGTGGACCTCACGACCCCCGAATTAGGAGTAGCGACTCTCCACTTCCCAAGATAGGATTAGGTCTCGTTCCAGTCGAACTGTGGCTAGGGTCAAAATGTGGCGCCCGGGTTCCTGTTTGGCGTGCTCTGTTCACCGACGCGGATCCCCGTCGCTTTTTTGACGGCCACTCCGAGTGCCCCAGCTTCCCTGCACCCGCTAGGGCTACAGTGTGGCCCGCTGGTTCTGGCATGGTGCTCGATTTGGAAAAATTATTGGTTGTGGCCCTCTTTTCCAGTCCAATGTTGCATCCGTGTTCCTCAACCATGCTCCAAGGCTGATGAGAATAAGGACATGTCAGCACTGTACGTGCGGGAACCCCGAGCCACTTGGTGGTCAACCGCCAACCGTCAACCGCCAACCTTTTCTGACAGCTTTGGCTCCCTTATCGCGTGGTCGGATCCACTGGATCCCAGAGGCCTGAATTTCCGTCATCCTCTGATTTGAAATCTCCATTGTTTCGATTAGTTATAATTTTTCGGAGGAAGGGGCGTGAAGTGGGGGTGAGCACCAGCAACAGCACCCTAATTCCGTAATAATCGACACCATAGGCTAGACCAAGGCCGTCCAAATGCCAACAGATCGAACCATGCGGCTCTAGGGGGAAAATCGAGGGCAATCAAGAGTCGAGCAAAGATGATCGCCGGCAAACTACACCTGGGATAGCATAGCGCCGAGGACGAGCGTCGCGAACCTAGCCGGAAGGCCAGGCAAGGGCCACGATTGGCAGACCTCCGGGGACCTCATTTCACGTTTCATTTGGCGTGGCCGAGCCAGGTCCAATGACGACTTGCACAGGGCTGCCGAAATGGCTGGCTGGCGTGGGGAAAGCTCCTTTAGCCCCGGCAGGGATCGTCAACCGAACCCATGGGATTACGCTCTTTTCTTTTTCTTTTTTGAAAATGGGACGGACGCGGCCGAGATCTACTCCACTCTATCTATTTGATTTTTATCTCTGCTTCTTTCTCTTTCAATGATTTGATGCGATCTTGTGCCGACCCAAACTACCGGAACTTGTACGATGTTGTAACGCTGTCAGAATAGGCGATCTACAATGCGTTGTCCGAAGCGAAAGGGGGACACGGACTCGCCGATGCCCGATTTTTAGGGAATGAAATTACGAATCATGGATTATGGACTATGGACTATGGACTATAGACTATGGATCCCGACTGACAGGCCACCGTCGTGAGGTTATCGCCTTTGACATTTCGGAGGTGTCGATCGCTGCATGAATTGCTTGTTGCCCGACACCCCCTATTCTGGACTCTAGAAGCTTGTCCATATCCCTCGAACATCTCCATTCCGACCTATCGATTTATTCCGTGATCTTCCACGCTATTGAAGACCGTATGACGGGATTTCTCCGGCCTTGTGGGGCATGTCAAGGTCATGCTCTCTGCCCTTGAGCCATGGGCCATGGCCTTGTAGGGCAGAAGTGTACGGAGCACTAGCATAATGGCACGCTCGCCTCGAGATAGGTCTTCAGTCCTCTACAGGGTCGGGGCTGGACGCCTGACAGGAGGCTGAGTTTTCAAACCAATGCGAACGGCAACCAGATACCACGCTCGTACCGAGGCGTAATGATAAAAGGAAGTCGAATAGGGAAATAAAGAGGGCCAAAAGGAAAAAAAAAAACAAAATGTCGAATACCCCCAAGAATACCTAGAGTACCCACTGTACCCAGAATACTCAGAATACCCAGTGGAGCCCGGCCAGCGCTAAACCCGGGCTCCCTGTCCCTGCTGCGCACTGCCCCAGCCCTGTGGTTCGAGGGTCTGGTTCGCGGCGCAATATCTTACCGTATTTAATTCAATTTGGATTTTTTCCTCGATTTTTGATTTAATTTTAATTTCTTGAATATTTTGTATTTTGTATTTTGTATTTTCTATTTTAGTTAAATAATTCATCATCCCGAACTAGACACTGCACACTACGATGTGTACTGACGATGCGTCTATAATACTCCTCCTCTCCCCCCCCCCCCCCCACCCTCCCTGACATGTCTCTCACACTTCGCCTTACACTACATCAATAACTACCCTCTCCTCAAAGCGCTTCCCAAGTGCCTACGCAAGGAGACATAACTTGCCTGTATGCAACCCATTCACGGCTCCCTTGCATATCTATCGCACGTTGCCTTCTTTGTCCCGAGGTTCGCACGTTGGGTTTAACCGGGCCGCAATTCTAACCTAATCGGACTGGTATGTTGCTCCAAGATCCAGTATGAGACAAAAGCTGACGACTACCCAGAGTCATTAACTCAAAAGACTTAAACATTTCCACGACGGTCGAATCCAGATCCAAGTCCTTTATCCCTATGACTATGGATCCTCAATTCTCCGAGATGTTCTATCCGGTCGACGTTTCTTCATACCCCCCGGACTACTCCCGCCTGCCCTTTTATAATGACTCCGTCCTCTTCGATTCCGACTACAAGCCCTCAAATTTTACTTCTATGCCTGCTACTCCTCCATCCGTCTCCGCGTCACACTTAGACCCTCAAATTCCTACTGGCTCTGCGGCTTCGGGCCCTTCTATCGCCAGCGCACCTTCATCCGCAATCGGATCTCCATACTCGGGCCACCAGGCCTTCCAAGATCAGTGGGTTAGCACGGGGAACGGTCTTGGCCTTCCGGCGGCGGTGATGGACCATTATTTCCCCAATGACTATACCGGGCGTCCCACGGAGATCGACGGACTCTACCATGAAAAGTTGCCGTTGCCATATACCACTGTTGGTACGTACTCGATCGCCAATGTCGATTTGAGATCTGCACTAACCAAGGATCAAGCTCCCTATCTGATCCAACCGGTACAAGATGGTCCCGAATTCACTCCCACCATCTCATATCCTGAACAAATCAACTCCACTTATTCTACCGTCCCGCACAACTTTCTCCCTCACTCTCCCGCCGCTTCCCCTGTTCCATACAGCGACAATGTGGAGCCCCAGCCGTCGCCATCTCTCCCCGTACCGCAACATTCGCCCATGATGATGCCCATGTCGCACTCGCGACCGGTTTCGGTCTACGACCGAAGATCTTCCATTTCCTCCATTCATTCCCGCCGTTCACAGCAAAGTCCCACCCTGAGCAGTATTGAGGCGGAAGATGATGTCAAGGAGAAGGGCCGATGCCCTTATCCCGATTGCGGCCGAGTTTTCAAGGACCTGAAGGCTCACAGGCTCACTCACTTGTCCGAGCGACCAGAGAAGTGCCCCATCACGAACTGCGAGTACCACATCAAGGGTTTCGCGCGCAAGTACGACAAGAACCGTCACACATTGACCCACTACAAAGGGACAATGGTGTGCGGTTTCTGCCCGGGTTCCGGCTCTCCCGCAGAGAAGAGCTTTAACCGCGCCGACGTCTTCAAGCGCCACTTGACTTCCGTCCACGGAGTCGAGCAGACACCGCCGAACTGCCGCAAGCGCAGCCCGTCTTCCTCTAAGAAGGGTACCAACTACAGCCCCGATGCTACTGGCAAGTGCTCGACTTGCTCGGTGACATTTAGCAATGCCCAGGACTTCTACGAGCATCTGGACGACTGCGTCTTGCGTGTGGTGCAGCAGGAAGAGCCCTCAGAAGCAATCAACCAGCAGCGACTCGCCGAAGTCGCCGCAGACGAAGAGGTGAAGAAAACGATGGAGAAACATCAGCTGCTCGACACGGCCGGACCCGTCGACTATGATGATAACGATTCCCACGATGATGACGATACCCACGACCTTGCCAACTGGTGCGCTGGCCGTTCCAAAAAGGCCAATGTCCCCAGTTCACGCCCGATCATTGGTACCGGCAATGCTGTGTCCAAGAACACCGCGAACAAGGGTCGCGCCGTCGCAACCCGCCGTCGTAACAACCGCGGCAATTACCCGCAGTCCTGGGGCTGTCCCAACAGCAGCATGAAGACCAAGAAGCGCGTGCTGTGCGTCTTTGACGGCCAGCGCCGCCTGTGGAAGGACGAGATGATGCTCAACAACGAGTTCGAAGTACGTCTGCGTCTTCCAGGTGGTGGAGGCGATGGCACGAACCGCGATGCCTATGTCACAGACCTGGACGTTGAGACGATGAAGCGCGCCGAAGGCGTCCTCAGCGCGAACGAGGAAGAGCGCGGACGCTGGATGGACGGACCCTCGCCTCACCTCATGGGCCAGCCGGCAGTTATATTGCCTGAGCTGTGCTCGCAGAACGATGAAATTTCCATCAACGAGCTCATGGCATGAACGAATTGTGTTTCTCCCTTCTCTTCTCTTCGGAATCGGTTGTCAGGATCCGTTGTATTTTCTTGATTTTTTTTTTTGTTTCCTTGGACCTTGTTTCCGTATAGCAGCGGCGTCGATTTTGTCTGAATACGGACTGCGGATGATACCTTGGGCTCGAGCTCATTATGAGATTTTACGTTGTTTTCTGCTCAAGGCGCTTTACACTGGCCTATCCTGCTGGTCGGGTAATTATCGGATGGTGTTTGACATGAAAACACGATCAATAGGATACTCTTCCTGATGTGCATTTATTTTCTTCTTCCAAGTCCCCGTACAAAGATCTGTAGATCCCGTAGAGCCTCTCCCGATTGAAACGTGGTCGTGGACGGATAAGTTGATACGGTGTCTCGACCACTCCGCCGCACCTCGGCACCTCCCCGCGTTCCCTGCACATCACCTCAGCATACACAATGCAGCTAGGACTCTCCGAAAACCTATCGGCCCTGGTGGCTCGGCGCTTCAAAGCCGCCAAAGAAGGCAACCACCTCGTCTTCTCATCCACCAAACTGTCCATAATCAACGCGGGCATCCCAGTACGCATCGCACCCCATGCCGAACCAGATCACAACCTAACCTCACCAGTACCAACTCCGCTATTGCCCAGCCCTCGCAAAGAAACCAAACAACCTCAAACCAAGCGGCCCCAAAGCTCCAAAACCAGACCCCTTCGAAAACCCCTCCCCAGACCTCCTAATAACCACCCTCCCCTCGACAAACCCAACCCACGCCCTCATCCTTAACAAATTCCCGGTAATCCCAAACCACTTCATCCTCGCAACAACAGCCTGGGCCTCCCAAACCGACCTCCTCGACAAATCAGACCTAGACGCAACCTACGAATGCCTTCACGCATGGACCGAGAACCACCCAGGCCGCCTCTTCGCATTCTTCAACTCCGGCGACGAAAGCGGCGCAAGCCAACCACACCGCCACCTCCAGTTTCTCCCCGTCGAAGCAATGCGCGCAGATTCAAACCCGAATGAGTTCTGGGAACCGCTGATCGACGGCTTCAAATCCCAGCCTCAATCTCAAGGCAAATTTCAACACCTCCCCCACCTCCCACTCGCACACTTCGCCCTCCCTGTCCCGGTGGACGCGACCCCAGAGATATTATATCATATCTACATAACTCTTTACCGCGCCGCCGTCGCCGCTGTTGAGGGCAACGCGGCTACGAATATAGCGACCAGCGGAGCAGCGCGTATAAGCTATAATCTAGCGATGACATTGTCGACTATGATGATTGTTCCGAGGAGGGCAGAAACGGGTACGGTGCCGATTGATATGGAGAAGGTTCGGGATATTGCGGATCCGGGCGTCGTTTCGTTAAATGGGACGGTGTTGGCTGGGACGCTTATGGTTAAGGCGGAAGCGGAGTGGGATGTTTTGAGGGCGAAGCCAGAGGTTTTGGGGAGGGTTCTGAGGGAGGTTGGGTTTCCGAGAGAGAGAGAGGGGGTTGCGTTGCTGTAGATTATTCTACACAGAGGCTGTGTGTGAATTAGAGGTAGAGTAGTGTTGTTGGTCTCGGTGTACATTGCTTGGGGTCAACATATAGGTGCTGCTATCAGCATAGTATCCTGGGTTCATTGTGACAGCTGGAAAGATGATGTTCACTGGAACAGTCAATAGAAGATTTACTAGGTAGATAGTGGACGGCGCGTTCACTGACCGCCATACGGGTGTTTTCACCCGGGCACACTTCACGTATAGGCATTTCTGTTCTGCCCTTCTCTTCCCCTCTTCCCCTTTTGCTCTCCAGGGCTAGATATGTAATTACGGGAGTCTACGGTCATCCGCATATGCTGATGTTGTTGGTGTTGCATAAAGGAATAAATCATTGCGAGGGCGTGTATATAGTGATTATGGTGGTGGTGATTTTCGAGGCTGTACGTATCTGCGGAGGAGAGGATGGCCTACTTTCGAAGATCTGAATGATCAGGTGTTGATTACCGGAGCATCAAAGTGTGGACGGGGAAATATCGCAGTATGTGGGCCGAGTTAGGCAAATTAGTTTAGATAATGTTCATATTATATGGAGAGGGGGGAGGGATGGCGACCCTGAGTGATTGTACTGGAGCGACTGTAGAAAAAGATGCAGGTGGCATTTGTGTTTTATTATTCGTGAGCCGATGCAGTGCAATGAGAGGAAAGAGGCTGAAAAATTGCCTTCGCTGAAGACCTTCCCTTTCTACACAAGGCGGACGCTACTGCCCATAAAGGTAAGTCATGTTTGTTTATTAAATTAGCCAACGGATTAGAGCCTAGACTGCTATAGCATCGTTGGGCGGAATAACTAAGGCTATCATCTGATTTAATAAGAAATTGGTTATAATTAGAGGGTGAAAGTAGAAAAGCATCATACAGCTCACGACGTGGCGAAAAGGTACACACTATGCTGAATACAGATTTTAGGGAATAAATGCAGCAAAGAATAGATAACACGAGATTGTTTATCCCTTTTCATCAATTCTGTACCAATTTCTCTTGCAATGTGGTTGCTCCAACTGGTGGGGAATACAAAAAGGGAAACGGCAAAAATAGAATTGCCCGCTGCAGGAGTCGAACCTGCGATCTTCCCATTAACTCTGCGTAAATTTCGTAACGAGAATACGAGTGGGACGCCTTACCACTTGGCCAAACGGGCTTATGGTCTACGTAATCAAAATCTTTTGAGCCCTATAATAGCTAGGCAATAAAGCCTAGTTATTCATTGTTTTGCCCTTTAACTAAGCCGTCCCGTCCCATAATAATTTAAGTTCCGAGTAGATCGAAATCGTCAGTAAACTTTTTAAGAATTCAAGCTAGAGGTAACTCAGAGAGGGCACCCAGCGGAGTGCTTTAGTAGTTATAGTAGTAGTATTACTGGTATTCTTTAACCTGGCGAAGCTCGCTTTGAATACATGCTGCTATGCGGCGTCTTTTGGACCAGGGCCAAAGCGGAACAAAACAATCTACCCTGTTCCCACCACGAATAAGAAGCGGTGTTACTTGTCCGAGGCTGCAGAATTGCGAACTGAAAGGAGATATTGTAGTGGAGCGCGCTTCATTACTGCAGCAAGCGTGCTATGCCGTGGAGACAAATACGCAAGTTCAGTCCAACGCAAGCGACCCCGGGCCGTCCTACATCTATCAATACAACACTGTTAAATAAGCACCCAGGTGCTCAGGTATATCCTAGAATTCTACTACCTATAAATTCCGGTCCTAAGACCGAAGCCTGCCATAGACACGGCCACTTGATCTGCCCTCAGTCAACATGGTCGCTTGATCCGATTGTTGGAGAGTGGATCAGCATCCCAACGCGAATAGATTGGACCAAGAGTGCCAATTCACGGCTTGGAAGGATGTACTGGAGCGGATGAGTGAGCTTGCTAAGTTGTCGAATGGAATATATTACGACGATACCCTGAAGCCCGACGATGTGCTGGGGAACCTGGAAGCTATCCAGAATCCGCGCAAGAGAAGGTCAAAGAAGGGAGAAAGGTCAAAGAAGGCTTTAATAACACTCTTACTGTCATCGCGAAGGTTGAAGGCATGGTCGCCGACGCTGCGTTCCAGGTAAGCCTCTCGTGCCCTAAAAATAACATCGCTAAACCAAGTCAGTTTTTCGCTCCAGCCGGTCAGTGCTATAATGCTCTGAACTTCGTCATCGATGCGTACAAAAACTACCAGAGTGTTTTCGAATCTCTGAACGCTCTGTTTGAAAAACGTGCTGAGTTCCTAGGACGTCTGCCCAGATCGTCTGACCAGATACGTCAAAGAAAAGATGAGCCTCGGACTAAGCATTGTCTCCTGTAAGGTTCTACGCCATTTTGTGGACGTGGTTGACAGAGCTCTGAAGCTGCGAAGCTCCCGTGAGTAGTCACGAAAATGAAGTTCTGATTTGTCTAACCCGCGGTATATTTTTGAAACTAAGATATAGTTCTTACGTAGACAAAAAAGCCCAAAAATCTATGATTTTTACTCTAGCTTTGCCTGGTACGCAGCCATCACGTCCCCAACGGCATCATAACCATAACACCAATCGCGAGTCTTCTTATTCCCAATTCCACCAACCGCTCGATTGATCTCATCGCGCTCTTGACTGGTGGAATCAAGAGGTTCTTTTGCTACATCGAAGTCCTCGTTTGTATGCCGCATCAGCTCATACATCGCTTCCCGCTCCTTGCCGTCAGGCACGTGGAATGAATCACCCGCCCGAAGACTTGCTCTCTGCACATTTACAGCTCTGCGTTTCCGAACCTCTTCAAACACGGTTAGTGCATTTTTCAGACTTTTTGCTTCTGGCACCGTTCTAGAATCGGGACACGTCAGGCTGAGGATTGTTGCTAGCGAAACGGCATCTTCAACGGCGAGACTCACGCCCATAGACATGTAAAATGCCATAGCGTGCGCAGCGTCGCCGAGTAGTGTGAAGCGACCAGATGAATGTGTCCAATGGGGAAGAGGTGGGACTGCGTAAACTGGATAATTCACGATATTTGGAAGTGCGAGATTGAGGAGTTGCTGAACACTATGAGGTTGTCAGAGATCTTCAGCGAGGTGTACGTGATGTGACTTACGGCTGTTCAAAGTCGCCAAAGAGATCGTCTACGACTTTCTTGTGATCTTCGTAGCTCAGTTTGGACATGTCAATGTCGTCGCGGTGGGATAGGACTATGTTCAGCATCGAAGCATCTTTGATCAGATATGTCATGCATGACCTATCCGGTGCGATCCAGAAGTTAGAATTGTACGACTTGAGGTTGACCAGATCTGCTGTCGCGGGATTCTGTTGAATCTTGGACACTTCGGCCATCATTCTCAGAGCCGCCCATCCGGTGGGCTGAGATCCCGGATCCGAAGACATCAGGAGCTGAGAGCGAGCAAAGGAGTTAATTCCTATTCTGGTCAGTTTGAGGGAGATGTAAGTGAGGGTGATGGAAGATACCATCTGCGGCAATAACAAGATCCGCCTCAAGTCGCTTCCCACTCTTTACCTCGACTGCGCCATTCTCAAATTCGTATCGAATAACCTTTTTATCTAACAGGAGTTCGGCGCCGGCGTGGACAGCATGGCGGTGGAGGATATCATGTAGTGCAGCTCTGTGAACAACAATGTACGGCGCACCGTACAACTTCTCCATCTTATCCATCTGCATCGCTCCTAGCATGCTTCCATCCTTATCCTTGATATTTATTTTCTCGGGCATGATACAATGCGCCATTATATCTTCTTTGAGACCCCATCGAAAGAAGTACTTGACAGCCTGTGGGGTCATCTGGACACCCGCACCTATCTCGGCTAACTGCGATGCGGAGTCAAGGACTAACACTTTGTGATTGTTCTGCGCGAGGGCAATAGCAAGGGAGAGCCCTGCTATGCCTGCGCCAACAATGATAATGCGCATGGTATCGTTAAATCTCTCTGTGAATCAAACGATAATGGACGGGTATTTAAGGCGAATTCAAGGGTCTCAAATCAATGACAGGCCGATGAAAGTGAATGAAGGTGCGAGGTGTTTTTTAATGTCTTTTGTTTTTTGAAAAGCGGTATCACCTGCAGGTGCAAGATATCGGTCGCTCGATTCCGCTACTCCGCGTTCGAGCGGTCCTGTTCCGATGCAACATGTGCACCACGATGTCCGACGACCGTCTACGAACCATCTTGGCTTGTGATTGCTTCGGTCGGAACCCCATGACGTCACTTGGCCCTTTCTGATGCACCTACCTATCCACGCCAGTAGTCTTGCATTCTAATGTCCAAATTTGGATCAATAATTGCGTACTCGCATGATGGGAAGCTGCCTCACGTTCTCAGCCGTAGAGCTGTTCAAGAAACCAATGAACCAATAGAGCCAATCGTGGTCGTAAAAGTCAGCCTTACTCTAGGGCTGGCTGCACAAGGCCCAACCGAGGCTAATGTACCTTCATTAGGGGGGCGGTTACGTACACTATGAAAACTGCAAGCCATATGATTCATTAGAGCGGTAGTAAGCTAAATTTGGCCACCAAAATCTCGGAGGGAGGCCGTCAACTCCGACGCCGGGGGCACGGTAGATCTATAGTGCTTGGCAATTGGGAATGAAAGTACATAGAGTCATTATAAGAATCACTCGCGGCCCCCCATGAAACTTTAGTTGTGTGGCTGAGCCTAAAAAATTCGAGCCAAACCCTGCCGAGATCGACATGACTCGCGCGCAAAAGTCGATTCGATATCGCTACATTCCAGAGATAATGAGATCTTCAAGGCTTGCGCCAGGAACAAATTAGCCACGCCGGCATCGGCGACAAACTTTTATTCCCTTTCGGTTCCCCCAGTTTTTCAAGGAGTTCCAGGCTCCATTGAAATGCCTTTTTGATGATTTCTATTACGTCTCGGGAGCATGATTCGTTACATCGGGCCGATGTCTGGGTCCAACTGTGGCCGTGACCCACTTTTGCGCCGTTCCGTTTTTGGCTGGCCGAGACTTTATTCACGCGTGGATTGAGTCAAGCTCTTTTTTCTTTTTTTGCGTCGTGGTCTTTGCTTTTTATTCTCTGTCAGATCCGATCTAGCGTTTGAATTCCACCCACTGTCTGTTATTTTGCACATTTTGGAACATCGCGCGATCGAATCTCCGACATCCTAAAGGACTAGGAACCGAATCCGAGCTTAATATACAGTTGTGAAAAAGTCGGATTCTTCATGAGCGATCCGGTCGACAATATGGAGGCCGTATCGTGTCCGAGGAGCATGGATATTGACCCCATTGACCTTGAGAGTGATGAGAAATCGAAAATCACGCCGGCGTACAAGCAGGACGCTTTCGGCGATGAAGAGTTCGCGGAGGTCAAATATAAGGTTTTGAAGTGGTGGTATGTACTCAACGTGAGAATTGGATGAGTTTCATATGCTAAGGAGTAATGTGTCTAGGCAATGTGGATGCCGTATGTTTGAATTTTGAACTGCTCGTCAACTCGATTCTAATATCTTATAGTCATGGTCGCTGAAACTGTTTCTCTGGGCGTTTTGTCCCTGCCTGCTGCCATCGCAGGCTTGGGTCTTGTTCCGTATGTCAATTGCAAACCCAAAAGCCAATGATTGAACTAACATTTGCTGCAGTGCCGTTATTCTTCTTATTGGCCTCGGCCTCCTTGCAACCTATACCGGATACGTCATGGGACAAATGAAGTTGCGATACCCGCAGATCACAACAATGGCCGATGCTGGAGAGGTCTTGGGTGGAACATGGGGTCGCGAAATCGTCGGAGCTGCATATATCACTTTCCTGATCTTCATCATGTCGAGTCACTTGTTGACATTCACCGTTGCGATGAACACCATCACCAACCACGGCACTTGCTCCATTGTCTTTGGTATTGTGGGGATGATTATTTCATTTATCTGCTCTCTTCCAAGAACTCTCGTCAACATGTCTTGGTTGTCGCTTGTCTGTATGTTCGGTGGTACCCTCGAGTCATTTTGACAGAACATTAACTCTTTTTTAGCATTTGGAAGTATCATCATTGCTGTGCTGGTTTGCATGATTGATGTTGGCATCGAAGATTCTGGAAGTGGAGTCGTTGCTGTCCTCGACACCGATCTCTATCATGGATTCTCGGCCGTGTGCAACATTGTCTTTGCTTTCTGCGGCCATGCCGCATTCTTCGGCCTGATGGCTGAGCTTAAGGACCCTCGCGATTTCACCAAGTCCCTTTGCCTCCTGCAAGGTGTTGATATCTCCCTTTATCTTATTGCATCTGTCGTCATTTACCGTTATGCTGGTGATGGTGTTACCTCGCCTGCGCTTGGCTCTGCATCTCCTGTCGTCTCTAAAGTAGCCTACGGCATTGCCTTGCCCACCGTTTGTCTTTCCAATTCTCCAATATCTTGTTGTGGTCGCTAACTACTTCCTTGCAGATCATCATTGCAGGCGTTATCAATGGCCATGTGGCATTCAAGTATGTCTACGTGCGTATTTTCCGTGGCACAGACCGGATGCATAAGCGCGACTGGCTGGCCGTGAGCTCCTGGGTCGGCATTGCTCTTGCTTTATGGATTCTTGCCTGGATCATCTCATCTGCCATTCCTGTTTTCAGTGATCTTCTGAGCTTGATCGTAAGTCACTCATGAACCAATCACCTTATGGAACGCTAATTTGGAATCTAGACTGCCTTGTTCGCCAGCTGGTTCACTTTCGGTCTGAGCGGCACTTTTTGGCTGTTCATGAATTGGGGCAAATGGCTTTCATCCCCTCGCAAGATCGCACTAACTCTACTCAATTTTCTTGTCATCGGAATTGGCGCAGCATTGGTACGTTTACTTCCGATCCCTTTCACTGATCGTCTACTAACTCTGTATCTCAGTGTGGCCTCGGTCTTTGGGTGTCCGGAAAAGCTATCCATGATAGCTCCAGCACCGCGAGTTTCTCATGTGCGAATAATGCTTAATTCTGAACATGCATATTTCTAGACTTTTATTAGCTTGGGGGGGTTATCGGCGTCTTCTTTGGTATCGCATAGCTGAAAACTTCCTAACATCTATCATTTTTGCAAGGCCTATCGCCTCATGTTATTATTAATTCGGCGGCATCATTGAACCTGTGGGCCCTTCTTCTCAATACTTTGGCAATACTATAGCCTCATAAATCTTTATAATTTGCATATATGACATCTGTATTTGGAAATTTTGAATTGTCAAAGAATCCGCGATCAAAAGCTATCCCCAATTGTATGGAACTATAAATGAAATCCAGCTAGAAGTATAAAGGAGCGAGCAAAGAAGAAACGCCAGCGTAGAAGCTGTCATATTGTAACTGTACCCATCACTAGATCGTCGTGATTCAAATCCACCGTCGGAGCGCCCTTGGGCTACTAGCAATATATGCAGTGCGTCTTAAAAGCAAGGCGTGCCACTACAATTGATTTTGTAGACATAACTCCAAGACTCACAAGTTCATGTTAGGGGCTCATCCAGAGCCCTTCAAACAACCGAACGTCTTTGTTCCTTACTTAAAAATACATCGATGGAGGATGGACTAATCTTTCATTTTTTTTTTTCAATTAAATAGAAGTATGTAATTTTTTTCTGACACAACCCCTTCGAAACAAGCTCCCGAGGGAAGGGGTTGATTGTGAAAAGGCAGTGAAGGTCGTCATCTGTACCGGACGTCGTGAAACTTCTGCCAGCACTTATACTATGTTGAAAGTTTTTTCCATTTCTAATAAACGAGCGAGACTCATTACTACCTCCATACCCCCCTGTTAATTTTCTGAATAATCAATAGCTCTACTCGGATCTAGTATATATGGCCTCGGCCGAACCGAGCCAAATCGGAGAGCCGATATGGCCGATAGAGCCGATATGGCCGTCATATCACAGCAAATCAAATGTGTCCGGAGTCTATCTCCGAATATTTCCACCCAATCAAAATGCATTGAGCCCAACTAAATAAGAGTTTTGAGGATGGGATGAACTATAAAATGCTCTGATGCTCTACTAATTTTGACTCAATGACCTGTCCATTTCAAAGATCAGTCACCACACTGAGCTCTCATTTCTACGCAATTACTGCCAGTCAAGTTTTGTCGCCACGAAAAGCTCACCACTTCACGGTGTTTCCTCAGTCATGAGCTCTGCAGTTTTGCAATCCTCAAAAATGTCCCTCAACATCCTCATAGTGGGCGCTGGTATCTGTGGTCCAGCTTTGGCAATGCTTCTTCAAAAGACAAATCCCCAAAACAACATCAAGATTGTGGAAAGATTTCCATCCTTGCGGTTGGCAGGCCAACAAGTTGACCTGAAGACCCAGGCTCCTCATATATTGAGAAAAATGGGGCTAATGGATGAGATCAAGTCACGCTGTGTCAACGAGACTGGCCTCGAGATGGTGGACTCCAAGGGGAAGCAAGTAGCATTCTTCGGTGCTAGTGCCGCCGGCGAAAGTCGCCCTGGCTTGACAAGCGAGCATGAAATCATGCGAGGAGATATGGTACAGGTTCTATACGACGCCAGTCTTAAGCAAGATGCCGAAGTCAGGGCTACTTCCGGAGGCACAGCGGGAGTGACATATGAGTTTGGCCAAACGATAACAGCCCTTAATCAGAGTCCAAATGGCGTGGAGGTCACTTTCTTGGATGGACAGCAAGCACGTTATGATCTCGTTGTCGCCGCAGATGGGCAGGGCTCTCGCACCAGACGACTCGCCTTTGGCAAAGAAGTCAGTGACGCATCATTCAAATCACTCGGCATTCATGGTGGTTACTTTAGCATCCCACGCATCCAAGATGAAGGAAGTCTTGCAAGAGGACATCTTGCCCCTGGAAGTCGGATGATCATGACCCGCACCAGTGATCGTCCGGTGACAGGAGTGCTACTTTTCACCACAAAGGCTTCACCGACGTTGAATGCAGCATATAAAGAATCTATTGAGAAACAGAAAGAAGCTTTCATAGAGATGTTCAGAGACTCGGACTGGCAGGCTGATCGCTTGATGGCTGGACTGGCTGCTTCCGAGGACTTTTACGCTCATGAGCTTGGTCAGGTCAAGATGGACCAGCTGTCAACTGGCCGCGTGGTACTTCTTGGAGACGCAGGCTATTGCCCAAGCCCATTTACTGGGTTAGGTACCAATCTTTGCCTAATGGGAGCATATGTACTGGCCGGAGAATTGGCACGGCAGGGAAATGATGTGGTAGGAGCGCTCAAATCCTATGATGAGAAGATGCGGCCTTTCATCGACGATTGTCAACAGTACTCCCCGGGAACTCTGAGTCTCTTCTTTCCCTCTTCCCGTCTCGGCATTTGGTCTATGCTCCAGCTCCTTCGGGCTGTGGCTAAGATGAGCGGCTTATTCTCACGATCTCCGAAAGAGGACGAGCATTGGAAGCGGATTCCAGAGTATCCGGAGTTGAAGCTGACGTCGTGATTTCGGCTAGTTCGGGTCTACTAGAAATTTATCTAAAAACCTGTACACTGAGAAAGACTGGACGGTTAAATCTTTTCTTCGATGAAACCACATTTATATCTTGAGCATTGGGACCCTTTGTAACACCCTTGGAATTAAAACGCAAAGCGCAAATCCTCACTAGAGAATTTTATACCACTGCGCAAATTGAGGAGGTGACAAGCTCAGAGTCATAAATAGTCAAATATACACAATTTCGTTGGGTTTCCTTACTAGTGACCAAATCGACGATAGAACGCGAATACGGAACACTCCGTATATAGCTTGGAATTAAGTACAGTGAATTCGGTCTTTGCTCAATCATGTTTTGCTTGCAAAATTATTAAAGTATCACATCAAACGATTAGAATGGCTTGGGGTGCCATCCGAGACACATTGTGCGAGTGTGCAAAGTTGAATACAATTTTTGACTTCAAATAGTATATCCTCTTCACATCTCCATATCCCTTTAACCTGGAGGCTACATTAGAACAAACAATCAAATGCCACAGCAAGAGCGGACAAGAAATCTTCCACCAACTGACCAAGGCCTCAAGAGAGAGCCCGCCCCCAAAAGGGTGTAGTAGGCATCACACCGAGAAAGAAGACAGTCAGGATATCCCAGTAACTTAATTTATGTGGTTTTGATTAATTGTTACAAGTTTCCACGTGGTATTATTTACGGCTGTCCAATCCAAATCACGTAAGTTGACAAGGCCTCCGTTCAGCCATGTGGTCCACTCTATCAGAGTCAATTAAAAGTATAGGCGCCGGCATTGGACGTTGGTTACACAGCATGGGGCGGAACGAGACATTCATACTGGTGACATTCACCAATGTATGGGCCCTGTTTTCAAGGCGTGCCTTATCGAAACCCGCCGTTTGAAACTCACCTTTTACCCTTTTTGGTTCCTTTCTAAGCCTGAATACGACTAGTTGGTTCTAGGATTGCCTTTTTTTTCTCCGTCATTCTCTTGCCTATCTTTCATGGATGAGCTCCACCCGCAGAACAGATCTTTGTAGAGTAAATAGGATCGATAGTATCCTTTGGAAGATCCTAGGCCATTAATGGGCACTCTCGTCAGCTTGACGCATGGAATGAGCTAGAAGCAGAGACCCTCCGTAATGCATGGTGATTAGTTCCCGCGTCTAGTACAAAGTAGGAATGACGCAGCTGGCTGCATAGAGACAACTAGGAATCCTAGGCGTCGCGTGGCTGACACTTGCTGCAATTAGCATTGCAGGATGGTCCTGCAGGGAGCCAGTAACACGGACCGCCAACCCGCAGCCACACAGCTGCCAAGGAGGCTTGCTCTCTGTGTGTGTATCAGCCGTCTCACCTCGTATCCCACTTTCCTAACTGATCTTGGTCTCTGCAACGTCATGATCATGGACATGACGATTTCAAGAGCTTGGCAGGGTTTTTTTGGATCGCCATGGGTGTACATGCATTGTCTGAGATTTATCTATTCGGATATTCCATTTTGCGTGGGTGAATTTTACTCGCTGACCCAGACACCCATGGATATCTTAGGATGTTTCAGGGTGGCAAGGTGGCATGGTGGCATGGCCGAGGCTCAAAGTATGCAGAACAGTCTCAAGGCGACATATTTTCGATAGAACCCGGGGAAGGATTTGCCCGAGAGCATTTGAGAACATGAAACACAACCCTGTATACATTTCCTCGGCAAGTCTGCAGTCTAGCTACTTGGGAGGCCGCCCCCAGTTTCTTGGGTTGCAGTAAATCGATAAGCTCGTACCCTATTGAGACATAAATTCATCCGTTCGGATTGCGTGAGTGCGAGACAATATCATAAGCACGGAGCGTCCGGGCTTATCAGCTCGACCTTCCTGTGAATTGGACCGTATCACGCCGGGAGATACTAAATCCCAATCAAGCAAGGCCGAGGAGGAGCCGGCCAATAAGCCACCTGATTACACCTCAGGTACATGTACAAGACTGCAAGGTGAATACCGCATACAGGTGGGCTGGCCAACTGGGTTCCATCGCGTTGGTTCGGCCCCTACGACCACGTGGCGACCAGGCTCGGGGGGCCTTTGTAGGGCCTTTGTAGTCGCCAATCGATCGTGTCGGCCCCCAAGTGATCGTCTCCACAGTGCGCACGAGGCTCTCCCAACACAGGAGATGAGTTCGCGTCGCACTTTACGTTCGGTGGCTGGCACGAATTCTGCCAGACTTTCAATCTGTACCTACACTGGCTCACGTTTGTTGGTCATTGGCCAATGCATATTAAAACAGCCCCCTGCTAATTTCTGACATGCATCCACCACGTTGAAGGATTACTCTTACTGCAAACAATACGATCCAAAGGGCCCATGCGGCGTGGCATCTTCTAATCCATATCGGCGGGGTTCATGAGGGGGTATCGGCACGCCGAACCATCAATGCTTAAATAAGATCGCCAACCCAAAGTCATCAGGTTGTATTTTCTTGCATAGACCCTTGACGCAGTTGTTTCTTTCACGGGTAATGCTCTCTGGATTGATCAACACTGAAGACGTGATTGCGGATATGACTTCCAACCTGCGCCAACGGCCCGGACTGGCTTGTGAAGAATGTCGGCGTCGAAAGGCGCGTTGTGATCGCGTACGGCCTCTCTGTGGAGGATGCGCAGAGAATGGCACGTTGTGTCTAGTGAATGAAAATAGGCCACAACGAGGGCCCAAGAAGGGTCAACTGCAAGCCTTGCGAAGTCGAGTTGGTAATTACTAATTCGGCCCCCTTTGCCTTCTCCACACTCATTCCAATGTCTTCCTAGCAATGCTCGAGCGTCAGCTTGTGGGCCAAAGTGATTCCATTGATGGATCATCAACGAAAGCGAGATCGACACCCGCCACTACACCTCCTTCCGACGATATGTTCTCGCTGGACCAAGATGAAGATTTCGCGATGCCGGAATCAGAGCCTAGTAATAGGGTCCCTCTTCTAGCTCGCTCCGATGGGAAAACTCCGGATCTTGCCGATCTCCCCGATTTCCAAGAAATTCCAGAGCTCTCACCATCATTCACTCATGTGGACCCCTTCTCGTCTGCCTGTATGGACTGGCAAACCACGAGTGGACTCATCGCGTCCAGCGTAGGGACAAATACGCCAATCAAGCAATACGATACTACACCGTTCTTCGTTTCCAACAACCTATGCCTCTCAGCTCTGGTGAGGGCAGATTTGTAAGTATCCACACCTCGTTCCAGATTTTCAGTCTGTACTGACGGTAACGTACATCAGAGATCAGTTATATTTCGACCGCGTACATGCTATTGCACCGATAGTACACAAGCAACGATACTTCTCATGGGCCTTGAATCAAAGCCCTCCACCTACACCGGCTCAAGCATGCCTTCGCAGTTCAATGCATACGATTGCGGCTGCTGTATCGTCCCAATTCCGGGGGATTGAGGAGGCATTATACGCCGAAACACGAGGCATGTTGGAGTCCCTTGATACGCGCCCGACACCGGTCAGTAAGAAGCACCGGTCTCGCTCAGCAAGCACAAACATACAGCTGGAACAAATACAATCATGGCTACTTCTTGCCCAATACGAATTTCTCAGAAAGGATGAACATCAGGCAATGATCACAGCTGGGAGAGCTTTCCGCCTCGTTCAACTGGCGAGGCTTTTTGAAGTCGACTCGCCTATGGCGTCTTTCCTAGGGGCTGGAGATCTAGATGATCTCAATAACTTGAATGACCCCTCCAGTCCTGAGGGCGCTCCAGAGCCTTTTTCAAAGACCGAGGAGAAGAGAAGAATTTTCTGGATGGCATACGGGTTGGATCGATTTCTGAGTTGGCGCAATGAGTGGCCACTCACCCTCGATGAAGAGACGGTAAGAGATACACATTCCGTAGATGCAACCCCAGATCATCAGCAAAGATCACCTACCCCGACTGGGATTCATGTCTGACTGACACCCCGCAGATCCACACACGCCTTCCAGCTCCAGAGGCAAACTTTCAGAACAACCAACCTATCCAGATCGACTTTCTATCAGATGTTTTAGATGGCAGTGGACGTTCGGCTACAATCACCCCCTTTGCAGAATGCATTCTTCTAGCAACACTATACGGACGATGCATGTCCCATCGGCGTTCGGCCTCTTCCGCGGTCCTATCAAGAGGGGGCTGTGAGCCACGCGAGTTCTGGGCCAGGCACGAATCACTAGCTGCAGCGGTGGAGAAGCGAAGACAATCCATCGCGCAAAGTTTCCGTTCCTCAACAGGAAATGATGATCGGAATGCAGCAACGGCCCCAGCACCAACTTCCAATCTCGACCTTGACCCCATGTTGACATTTTCCTACATACTCGCCCAGAGCGCCATCATCTACCTAAGCACTACAACTGAAACTGCAATGTGGCAGTCGGTTGAACATCAGCTGATGGCCTTGACCTATGAGCAACGCGCATTCCAGGCTGCGGCGGAGTTGGTACGCCTAGCAAAATTAATACCAAGAATCGGGCGCTTCAAGGTAAGATGAGCTCGAATGCCCCGCTTATCTGTGAATTCGGACCCCGCTGACAGCCCCCACTCCAGGTCCACCCGTTTGTACCCAGTGCGCTCTCCCGAGCAGTAGATTTCCTCAACACTCACACTAAATCGCCTTACATGACCGGTATTGACGGCGAAGATGTGGGTGCTAGTCTCGGTGCGCTTTTCAACGCGCTTGAAAATTTGAAAGATTTGAACAATCTCGCAAGAGAGATTCTCGATGAGCTTGAGCCGGAAAGCCCGACTTTGGGCCATGAGGAATCTCACTATTTGTATTAGATAGACGACATTTGTGCATATACGCGGCCCAAGACAGTTCGTGTTTACTAGATCTTCAATTCAGGAGCAATCGAACATGACGAAATCCAAAAAACAAGCTTGAGTCATCAGTGGGTACCGGCCCAGAGCCGCCTAAAGGTGATCTTCGGATCATCGAAATCGTAGAACCCCCGCGGCTCAGACCACACCTAATATCTCCAACATGCAGAAAGAAAATAGGAAAGAGTGAAAACTTATCCCTTCCTGTCTTACAGGCCGGGTAATCCCCCCAAAAGCTGAATGAGAAAACTGGCCCCCATCAACCAGATACCTATCTACTAGGGAATCAATCGCAACGTTGCAATTAAATCATAACAAAAGCATAGTGCTCAAGAAAACATCACCAACAGTGAGCCCCAAGCAATCGCTTTTCTGGCCAAAGCGTTGAAGGATCGAAGGAACCGCCTGGCCAAGATAGTGTCAAAGAAAAATACCGCTATCGGCATCGTCGGTAGGAGTAGGTATTCGGGTCGGTCCGTACCGCTCCATAATTCCCTGGAGCGGTAGACTTTGATCTCGGAGAATCAAAATACTGCGATCGGTCACATTGACCCTTATTCCCGAAAAAAAAAAGCAAATAGTAGCACGTGCATATTTTAACCTGTGGTGTTTGATGATAGAGATATGGTTAGCCACCCTGGATCTCGGAGATAAGGTAAGCTCCTATGGCGAGGATGTGGTTGACTCTGCAAGCATCCTGTGATCTAGAACAACCGAAAAAGATAAGCGATAAATATGACTCTTAGTGGGCCCATATTTGCGGAGGCGAGTGTGTTAGAACCAGTTCCTAGTTGACGAAATCGCGCGTTTGGAGACGGTTCGCCATGTCGGCATTCATGCGCAATCGTGCTGCAGGTAGCTGCAGGAGGCAGGGCTGGAATATCCCGGAAAAGACGAAGAGCTAATCACATACAGGAAGAAGCCTTGATAACCGGTAGCCAGAGTCCAGACCACTCTAGATCATGAAACCCGCCGGGACGACCTCCATTGGAGCAATACTCTCAGTGGGATATCGGTTTGGCTTTCTTCAGAGCAAATGCAACACTAACGCACATTATAAGTCCGAACCACGTGGTAATTAGTAAGTATGCCTCGATCGACCGGGTGGCAAAGGTAATTGACCAACAGGCCAACCACAGTAGAGTCGGCCGTGCCGAGAATACTGATGAAAAATCCCATGCCAAGATTGTGTTGAGTTTTGTGGGGATCTAGATCATGAACCAGCATAGCCAAGAAGAAGTAGCTCGCACTTTCCAAATAGGCATTGAACTAGACCCTGAAACTCTTCCATTGTGGCGCTCTTCATGTACTAACACAAAACCACCTACCAGTAAGGTCAAAGTCGTTCTCAACGTGGTTTCCTCGCGTGACACTTCATGTTCCTTGGTTCTGGATGTGATGCCGAAAGGAGTTATCCGTGTCAACTTTGATTTGAAAGATCGTAATGAGCCATTCCCTGATTCGGGGCTTCCGAGTCGTCAGGCCCATTATCTCTGACAAGGTTGCGATCCTTTGGCGTAGTGGTGGGTGGTGCTGACTGCCACGCCAAGTGTGGCTCGACGCCTTCTCAAATTTGTCCAATCCATTAGCATTGTATGATAGGCTGATTTTGGAACTTGCTCATGTCTTTTTCATTGCGTAGGTCTATGGTAAGTCAAGTATTGGCGACCAAGCGGTGACAACCTGGAAATGCGTGGGGGATCGTCTACTTTTCTACTGAGCTCGACGCGTTTTCACTAATGAAAGGCAGAAACCAACGTACCTTAGATCCTTGAAGTCCACATGGCAATTACGTAGAAAACAAAGACATTGCTAGCAAAGAGAAGCGTCAAAAATGGGCCCGGCTCCTTCGGACTTTTAGATAGACACCCTACCCGAGCAGGCCGTCGACTCGACGGAATACCGAGTTCCCGGGGCCTTATACTTTGTCCCAATTTTGCAAGTGTGCTGACCGAGTGGTGAAATGACATGCATATATGCCACAATTACTAATATTGGTTTGGAACATGACCAAGTGTAACGGTAGAAAGGCAAAATACGCCTCGCTTTCTTGGCGAAGATTACAGGAACCTGGCGTTCAAGCTTACAGCGGCTTGCTCAGCTATTGGAAAGCCCTGGTACAAAGTCCGCAGGCAAACTACTAGGGTAGAATCTCAGTGGGTCTGCCACAAGAGCCAACGATATGAAGCAGGCGGCAAATATACCTTGCCAGTAAGCTTACACGGATCACGGCTGATCGGGTCAGAGATAAGCATAACCGGAGAAAACAAAACACCATTCAGCCTGAGTAGGCACGTTGCAGACACTCGGACTTATAGTTTCTTTTGGCTCATTAATTTCCGTCTCGGAAAGGGCTTCCGCCGTAGGCTTTTGTTCTATTTCTCCGACCCGCATATGGCTTCAGGGCTAAGAACAATCTCTCGGATCGATCGTCATGAAGGGCGAACAAGGTTTGTCTGAAGGATCCAAAGCGTTGGGAGGCCTTGCAGTGCACTGCCTCGTGGTGAACTAGGATCTTCACAGAGAGCTTGGGTTCACGACTAACGGTTTCGGGCCGAGACGCGTTTGGGGCTAGGGACGGCAGCGTTGTTAGCGGCGTAGTTGGCGGTGGAGGAGGCGGTGGGAAAGGCGGTAGATAAGACGGTGTAGGCTCGGGATTGCATTGGGCTCGAAGCGGCTGAAACTGAAGCATGGTGGTTTCGAGTTCTATTTTCTCCAAAGCTTGCTTGCCAGACTACGAGAACTAGTAGCAAGAGACTTCTGTTGAATATGTTTTAGCTAGCTAATGAAATCAACTGTCTCTCGAGTTGGACCTCTAGATCATGTGATGTATAGCGCCAGACTAGGAGCTTGTTGGTGCTATTCTTAGTAGTTTTGCGCGGACTATCTCTCGCCTGCAAAGTACTTCCGGCTTTCTAGGGCCCGGACATTTTACGTCTCTTTCTATGGCCACTATATTCCTTGCAATAAAGGGGAGCACTGAGTATCTCCGGCATCATGATGGACTATCACTGGAGGACATACCTATGCAAATTATACCGGCGTAAAGAACGAAAACCTTCAACGTCCGAAGAGTATCTAGAGTAGGTGTCAGATTAAGTTGTTATCTGGTGATACCTTAATACCCAGTTAGTCTCGTCTCTCGTCATTGAATATTCAGTCGCTCAAATTGCAAGGCTCATGAAATCCTAAGGAGCCCGACATACCTATCCTCTTACATCATATTCGACCAAGGGCACTCAAACTGCAATACCTTAGGGAGTGCCACCTGCTTTCGACACAATGAGCAAAATACTCGAGTCCAACAAGGAAACGACGATCCTTTTATTCGGATCCCAGATCGAGAAGTTGACCAAGGATTCATTGGACGAAATCAAAACCACACTTGCAGACCGATCGTCCCGAGAATGGATCTTGACTACCCTGGCAGGCCTGCCGGGCTACTGGGATGCCCTGTCCAAGTCAGTTCCCGACATCACTGAGTCCATCGGCACTCGGGGAAATGTACTTCTGGCAGATCTCGAGGTCTGGCTCCGGAACGGTGCGGACCAGAGCGCCGATCTCATGCGGGAGCTCGAAGATCTCCCTAGCATGGTTCTGTCCCCACTGGTCATCCTGACACAACTGACTCAATACCGCCAATATCTCGAGCTGCAGCGGCGGGCAAACAAATCCCCCGCAGGTACCGACGTACATGCACAGCGGGTAGCCGAGAAGAAGACATCGACATTGGGATTCTGTATGGGACTCGATGCTGCATTCGCCATTGCCAGTGCGAAAACCGCAAAAGAAGTTGACGAGTATGGCTCAGTGGCTGTGCGCGTCGCCATGATCGGCGGTGCTTTGATTGATGCCCAGGACGAATGGAGCAAGAAACAGGGACTGGGTCCCTCCAAGTCCTTCGCTGCGGCCTGGCGCACGGATGCACAGAAGCAGGACATGGAACGCGTGGTTGATGGGCTTTTCCCCGAAGCCTATATCTCCGTATTCTATGACGATGCACGCGGAACGGTCACAACTACGGAGCGTGCTGCGCCCCGACTCGTTCGACAACTGCGTGCAGCTGGTATCACAACTGCCGAAGTTGGCCTTCGAGGCAATATCCATAGCCCGAAGCCTGATACCAAGGAGAAGGCGGAGGCTGTGCTGAGCTTCCTCCGAGATACGCCTGGTCTACAGCTTCCCGATGCTTCCCGTTTGGCTATGCCCACATACACCAATAAAGGAGATGGGAAGCCGGTCGATGCTAGCGCTGTTCCCATGCATGAGATCGCCTGTCGTACAGTCTTCATGGAGCAGTGCGATTGGTATGGTACATTTGCGTCGGTCAAAACAGCGGTTCTTGACACCGACACCGCAGCTCATGTTATCACATTTGGCCCCGATCGTTGTGCTCCTCCAACCTTTGTGCGCCCCCTGGGACCCCGGCTCAACCACTTCGCAGATCTTCCTGTGGAAGCACGAGTACAACTATCAGCAGGGGACAAGGTGCCAACAGCAAGCATCCCGGCACCACAGCAGCCAAACAACCATGTGGCTTACAATAGCAACGACATTGCCGTGGTGGGAATGTCGATCAAAGTAGCTGGCGCAGATGATCTCTCAGAGTTTGCTGAGGTTTTGAAGACGGGCGAGTCACAGCACGAGCTGATTACCCCGGATCGTATCGCATTTGACACGGTCTTCCGCGAGGGCGACAAGGATGCGTCTCGTCAGTACTACGGCAACTGGATGCGTGACCCAGACGCCTTCGATCACAAGTTCTTCAAGCGTAGCCCCCGCGAGTCCGCCTCGACGGATCCACAGCAGAGACTTCTCCTTCAAGCAGCGTACCAGGCAGTCGAACAGTCAGGCTACTTCACCGAGAAATCTCGGAGCCCTCGGAGAGAAGAGAAGTCCGGGAAGAAGGGCCATGTCGGAGTTTTTGTCGGCTCCCCCGCAGTCGACTATGAACACAATGTTGCATGCTATAGCCCCAATGCCTTCACAGCTACAGGAAATCTGCAAAGTTTCCTTGCTGGCAGGGTTGCTCACTGGTTCGGCTGGACAGGCCCTGCGATCGTGATTGACACCGCATGTTCATCATCGGCTGTGGCCGTTCATATGGCCTGCCGCAACCTGCTGACTGGCGAGTGCGACGCTGCCCTGGCCAGTGGAGTTTCTATTTTCACCAACCCGCTTTGGTTCCAGAACCTTGCTGCAGCTAGCTTCTTGAGCCCCACTGGCCAGTGTAAGCCATTTGACTCGCAGGCAGATGGATTCTGTCGAGCTGAAGGAATTGCCTGTGTCTTCCTGAAGCGGATGTCGGATGCAATTGCCGACGGAAACCCCATTCTGGGTTGCATTGCCAGCACTGCTGTTTATCAAAACCAGAACTGCACGCCCATGTTTGTGCCGAACTCGCTCTCTCTCACAGATCTGTTCAAGGATGTCATCAAAGAATCGAAGGTCGCGCCCAGCGACATCTCCCTCGTCGAAGCCCATGGGACAGGAACACCAGTCGGTGACCCGGCTGAATATGACAGTATCAAGAATGCAGTGGGCGGACCTGGAATACGTTCCACACCTTTGCCAATTGGATCCGTCAAGGGCCATGTTGGACACGCCGAGGGTGCTTCTGGTGCAGTTTCTCTGATCAAGGTCTTGATGATGATGAACCAGAACTTCATTCCGCCGCAGGCCAGCTTCTCAAAGATGAATCCCGGCATCAAGGCCTCGCCGGATGACATGTTGGAAGTGGTTACTTCTCTTCGCCCTTGGAGTGACAGCACCAGCAAAAAGGCTCTTATCAACAACTATGGCGCTTGCGGTTCGAATGCTGCCATGGTTATCACTCAGTCCCAGTACCACAGCATTGGATTGTCAACTGCATCGATCAGAGGCATTAATGCGCGACTACCCTTCTCAATCTCTGGTCTCGACGCTGGAAGCATCCGTAGGTATGCTGGTAAGCTGGCCGCCTATCTCCAGCGTCAACCCGAACCAGTCACTCTCGCTGATATCTCTTTCAATGTTGATCGAATTGTCAACCCGTCCCTTGGCCAGAGCCTTACATTCAGCTCTAGCTCTGTCAAGGAGCTACAGGAGACACTTTCGCAAATCGCTGAAGACTCTAGCAAGCCATCTGTGTCTATTGAGCCAACTAAGGTGGAACGTCCTGTCATCCTCTGCTTCGGTGGTCAGGTTTCCACTTTCGTCGGCCTGGATAGGACTCTATATGACACCGCGGCTATCCTGAGACACCACATTGACGAGTGCGATTCTGTTATCCAATCCCTGGGCCTTGAAAGCATTCTTCCGGGTATTTTCTCCAACACCCCTGAGGAGAACCCCGTCCGCGTGCAGACAATGCTCTTCGCCATGCAGTACTCGTCCGCCAGGTCCTGGATCGATTGTGGTCTCTTTGGAAAGATCTCAGCCGTTGTAGGTCACAGCTTTGGAGAGTTGGTTGCACTCTGCATTTCAGGTGTTCTTAGCCTCCAAGATGCCATCCGGATGGTTGCCGGTCGTGCGCAACTGATCCGGGAGGTCTGGGGCGCAGACAAGGGTGCCATGATGGCTGTCGAGGCGGATGCCGCTCTCGCTAAGGAGCTAGTCACCGCCGCTGCTCACCATCTCAAGGAAAGCTATCCCGACGTGGCGCCTGCTGATATCGCCTGTTACAATGGAGTGCGAAGCTTCACTCTGGCAGGCCCCACCAAGGCCGTAGATGCGGTCGCTGAGGCCATCACAAAGGACCCTAGGTTCTCCGCAATCAAGAGCAAGAGGTTGAATGTCACAAATGCTTTCCATTCGTCTCTCGTCGATCCGCTGGTCGACCAATTGAAGGAGATTGGCAAGGATCTCACGTTCAACAAGCCTTCAATTCCACTTGAGCTTGCAACTGAGACCCGATCTGGTAGTGATTTAACACCGATGTATGTCGCTGATCATATGCGCAAGCCGGTGTTCTTCTGTCAAGCTGTTCAGCGCCTTGCTGAGGAGAACCCTTCGGCGATCTTCCTAGAGGCAGGTTCCGCATCTGGCATTACTGTCATGGCGAGCCGCGCCCTGCCATCAGGCAGCTCCCATGGCTTCCAAGCAGTGAAAATCACCAACTGCAACGGCCTGGATGGTTTGACAGACGCGACTGTCTCTCTCTGGAAACAGGGATTGCGAGTCTCATTCTGGCCGCACCAAGCATCCCAAACAAATGAGTACGCCGCTATTGTGCTACCACCATATCAGTTCGAAAAGTCACGTCACTGGCTTGGGCTCCGTTCTCCAGTCGAGGCCGTTCAAGAAGCCGCGGCTCGTTTGGCTCCCGTCGCCGCACCGGCCCAAGGAGCCGGTGTCGAGGAGAAAAGCCTTGGTCTGTGGTCATTCATGGGCTACCTCGACGATGAAAAAAGCAAGAGCAAGAAGAGCAGCAAGCGCGCTTCTGTTCGCCCCCGCTTCCGTATCAACACAGGCTCTGAGGAATACAATAAGTTCGTCTCTGGTCACATCATCGCTCAGACAGCCCCTATCTGTCCAGGCACACTGCAAGTCGACATTATGGTTGAAGCCTTATACAGCCTTCATCCAGAATGGACGGACGAAGGTTTCCTGCCCATCATTTCTGACATGATTAATCACTCACCACTATGTGTTGACCCATCACGTACCGTCTCTTTGGACTTCAAGTCTGCTGAAGGTGACCTAACTCAATGGGAGTGGAGTATCTCAAGCACATCCACCACCTCCAACGACGATGGGCAGAGTTACGTGCAGGGTCGGATTCGCATTCTTTCCCCAACCGACGCGTCTTACGCGGGCGACTTCGCACGTTTCGAACGTCTCTTCCCACACTCCCGAGCTTTGGAAATTCTCGCTGCAGCTGGCGATGACGAGGCCGTCGAGGTGCTTCAAGGCCGCAATGTCTACCGCACTTTCAGCGAGTTCTGCGATTATGCCGAGATGTATCGCGGGGTGCGCTCAGTGGTGGGTCGTGCGGATGAGTGTGCGGGCCGTGTTGTGGGTCGGTATAGCGGCAAGACTATGATCGACACACTGCTTGATGACAGCTTCAGTCAAGTTGGAGGCATGTGGGTCAATTGTATGACTGATACTGCCCCTGGAGATATGTATATTGCCACTGGTATCGATTTAACGATGCGGTCGCCTCGTCGCGTTATCAGCACAGCTCGGTCGCAGGAGAACTGGCATGTCTATGGTCGCAATACTCGCCAGTCAGAGACTGATTATCTCAGCGATGTTTTCGTTTTCGATGCTGCCACAGGTGAGCTTGCGGAGGTGATGCTGGGTATTCATTACTCGCGTATCTCGAAGGCATCTATGAGTAGGATGCTCACCAAGCTCACGAAAGACAAGTCGGTCTTGAGGACGACAACAGCTGCAGTGGCCGCGACTTCTACCCCCAGCCCGTCGGCAAACAATGCTGTTGGAATCTTTACTCCTGGATTGTCTTCTCAACAGCGTGATGTTGTCGCTGATGTCGCAGGAGGCTCCAAGCAGAAATCCAAGAAAAAGAAGGAGAAGAAGGTTAAGAAGTCCACAAGCTCTGGGCGAGATATCAATGGCGAGGTCATTAATTTGGTTGCAACCGTCGCTGGTATGGATGCCAGCGAGATTTCTCTTGACACCGAAGTTGCCGACATTGGTATCGACTCCCTCATGGGCATGGAGCTTGCTCGTGAAGCCCAAACTATGTTCAAGCAAGAAATGGACCAGGATGCCTTACTGCAGGCCGCCAGTGTGCGCCAGCTTGTCGAAGTTATCTCCGCTGTTGTGCTTGGAGCTGGCGGTGGCAATGCTGCACCGACTGGCGATATGAGTAGCGATGATGAGGACAGCGAGTCATCCGATGAAGCCGGCGACTGGTCGAGCGGCGATGAGGGTGATACCCCTGCTTCTGGCTCAGATACCGGCTTTGTTATGGTCAAGCCCGTCCCTGCTAAGAAGACTCTAGAATTATCATCTGCTGATCTCTTGGAGTGCTTTCGCGATATCAAGATGAGTACCGATCAGCGGCTCGTAGACCTTAAGGTCGACAATCTCGACCGTGTCATTATTGGAGCTACCAGTCGACTTTGTGTGGCTTTGATGGTCGAGGCCTTTGAACAGCTAGGCTGCCCTCTGCGTTCGGCTTCCAAGGGTGATGTTCTTAAGCCTATTCCCTTCCAGCAGGAATACAATCGTTTGGTCGAGTGGCTTTACAGCTTCCTGGAGAAGGACGCCCGCCTGATCGATGTCGATCCTTTCAGTGGTGAGATCACACGAACCGCTGTTGCAGCGCCCTCAAAGTCAAGCGAAGCTATCTTGGAAGAACTGAAAACGACAATTCCGAACTGGGCTGTCACCGCTAAGCTTATCTTCCATGCTGGCAAGCCTCTGGCCCAGATTCTCAAAGGAGAAACAGACGGCATCCAGGTCCTTTTCGGCTCGGCAGAGGGTCGCGAATTGATGGCAGGACATTATCGTCACAACCCGTTTGCCTCTATGCTTGGAGACATGATGGGTGATCTGCTGGTCAGCCTTGGAAACAAGATCAAGGCAACCGGTGCGGAAGGAACGCTAAAGATTCTGGAGATGGGTGCTGGCACCGGTGGTACGACACAAATTTTGGTGCCTCTCTTGGCCTCCTTGAACATCCCCGTTGAGTATACCTTCACCGATCTTTCCGGATCTATGGTCGCAGCAGCACGGCGAACGCTGGGAAAACAATACCCATTCATGAAGTTCGCAGTCCATGATATTGAAAAGACTCCAGCCGATGAGATCTGTGGTCAGCACATTATCGTCGCCAGCAATGCTGTCCACGCGACACACAATCTGATCGAATCGGCCAAGAACGTGCGCAAGACCCTGCGCCCTGATGGACTGCTCATGATGCTTGAACAAACTGAGGATATGCCGCTTTGCAATTTGATCTTTGGTCTGTTCGAAGGATGGTGGATGTTTGACGACGGTCGTACCCACGCAGTCGTCTCCACCGAGAATTGGGAGCGTGATCTCCACACAGCTGGCTTTGGTCATGTCGATTGGACAGATGGCCATCTGCCCGAGAACAACATCCAGAGAGTGGTCGTTGCTTTGGCTAGTGGTCCTGCTTTGGAGCGTCTTCCTATTCCTGCCTTGCGCCCTGAGCCCCCTGCTCAGCCGACTAGGGATCTGGCTACGCGGGAAGCCGAAGCAGAGAAATATATCTCGGAGCATGTCGCTGGATGGGCAACACCCGCCCTAGTTGAAGCTGATACCAAGAAGCAAGGTAAGGAGGCCGAGAGTTTGAAAGATGCCGTCGTCCTAGTCACCGGTGCAACTGGAAGCCTGGGCTCGCATTTGGTCGCTGCATTTGCCGAACATCCCGACGTACAGACGGTTGTGTGCGTCAACCGACGCAGCACCACCCCAATTGAGACACGACAAGCCGAGGCCTTTTCCAAGCGCGGCATCACGCTCTCTCCAACTGCCAGCTCGAAGTTGCGCATTCTTGAAACGGACACCGCTCAGCCTCAACTTGGCGTCGAAGCCGCTGAGTACGAGTGGCTTGTCCAGAACGTCACCCACCTCGTGCACAATGCCTGGCCCATGAGCGGCACGCGCCCGTTGCCCGGCTTCATTCCCCAGTTCCAGACCATGCGCAATCTATTGGACCTTGCCCGTGCCGCAGCATGCCGCAGCACGAGATCTGGCGATGAGACTCGCCGCATTGGATTCCAACTGGTCACTTCGATCGGTGTTGTTGGGCATGCAGGCCAAGGACACATTCCCGAAGAACGAGTCTCTATCTCTGCAGTTCTTCCCACCGGCTACTGCGAGGGCAAGTGGGTCTGTGAGCGCATGCTGGATGAGACACTTCACAGATACCCAACTCTCTTCAGACCCATGGTTGTCCGCCCAGGACAAATCGCCGGATCAACCACTAGTGGTGTCTGGAACCCCCAAGAGCACTTTGCGTTCATGGTAAAGTCAGCCCAGTCACTCGGTGCATGGCCCGACCTGAACGGAACCATGCAGTGGGTGCCTGTCGACGCAGCTGCTAATTCTATGAGCGAGTTGCTGTATATCGGCACTGAGTCTATTGCGCCCAACCCCTACCCCGTCTATCACATCGACAATCCTGTTGGACAGCCTTGGAAGGAAATGTCTCCTGTTCTGGCGAAGGCACTTGGGATCGAGCCCAGTGGTATGATTCCCTATCGTCATTGGCTCCGACGCATTACACGCTCGCCTCTGCAGGAATCGGAGAATCCAGCCATCCGTCTTGTACATTTCTTGGATGCTGATTATGAGCGCATGTCTTGTGGTGGATTGATCCTGGATACTACGAAGACTCAAGAGCATTCGAAGACTATGGCTGCTTTGGGGCCTGTGACTCCGGCTGCTGCTGAGAAATATGTGAAAGCTTGGAAGGAGATGGGTTTCCTTTACTGATTTTATATACCGGAGTTTGTCTTTGCTGTTGACTAGATTGTTTATTATCCTGAATATAGTGATATGCGATATAAGTTTGAATTTTGTCTGAGTCCTCCGTTCTCAAACTATTACCTCGTATTCCGTGCCAACCCCGACTTATTACATGCCATGATTCTGCACAAAATGGAACGTATCACGCGTCTTCGTTCACATATGCAGAGTCTCCGACCCAGTTACCCGCTTGAACTCGTCCATAGTATGTTTCCAAACTTGCTCAACCATACCCGCATCGCGCATTTCCGACAGAATGTCTAGTGCTTTCTGGCCAGCACTTTCTCCATCCCAGTGAATCGCATACACACCACTTCCCTGCTCTCCATTCGTGCCCCCTGCCACAGAAACATCATCAGAAACAGGTACCCCGGTTGCTCCATTCTCCACACCCCGTGGTGGGTAACGGGCACTAGTAGCGAAGAATAAATGCCTCTCCCCGGACTCCTTGGTCGGAATATAAACGAGGGGCCCAACGATCTTGAAAATTGTGATTGCGACGCGCATCAGAATACTGTTGGTCTCCCTTCCAAAGCCCGACTTGACAGGGCCCGGGTAATCATGCACGAAGCTAACTTCGGGCGCACTTTGTGCGATGTGCTCAAGCATGAAGTCGGTCATGGAGACATTGTGTCCGCGCACGTTTCTGAACGGGATATTGCGGGATTGGAAATCGTCTTTGAAGATTGGGCCTTCGTTTCCTGCTGCCAATACTGTCACTACTCGCCGGAGATTCTCGGCCGAACGAATCAGTGGTAGCAGGTTGACGATGAAGCGGGCGCGGGCATAGTATGCCAGTGCCATGAAGATGTGGAGACCTTCGCTTGTATCTACGGCCAGTATTAGTTCTCAAATCTTGCGCTGATGGGCGAGTGAAGTACTAACCAACATGAGCAAGAGCCGACCCACAAGTCAAAAACAGAAGGTTGATAGTCTTCTCTTTCCTGCTGATTTCCCGACAGACTTCGTCGACAGATTTCAATAGGCTAACATCCGCCTTGATGAAGATGAACTCGCCGCCGGGACTCAACTCTCGGCATTCCTTCGCGATGCGGTCTCCTGCCTCTTGCGAGCGACCGACGAAATAAACACGAGGGCTTTGCGCGTGTCGCGCGAACTCTTTCAGTGAGTACTCTCCAATGCCATTCGTTGCCCCGACGAAGACCGCGACTAGTCCTGGTGGAAGTGCGGCGGTGATTTGCGCATTGGACGCCTGGACGTCAGATAAAGATACCATCGTGTGTGCGTGACACTATGGGTTCGAAATAGTTTGTGGTTCGTTAGATGATTCTTATACGCCGCGCTCTCATACTTTGCGGGGGTTGAATTTCGCCTCCGGCAGTGTAACGGGATTGGCTGAATCCCGTCGCTACTAACCGCATCTCGTAACTACGGCGGGATAAATGCCCCGAATACCGGTAAACCGTTCGTTTCTACCAAGTTATAGAGGTCAGTGCATCCTTTTATGGGTCGTCCTCGCTTCCAATCTCTTTTTATCAAGTGTGTCCGCTTAGAGGTCTGGTAAACTTGGGATCCGACCACTATCGGCTGGAAGAAAAGGCTGGGCGTACACTTATAGGTCCCCACTGTGGCCACATTATGCGGACAAAGCCTTGCAACGTTTACAGGGGGTGTCTTGAAACAACAAGCAACGTGCAGCAGATCCATGCGCACGATGCAGAGGTCCACGAACCCCTTACGTCATTGAGTCTGTGCAGAGCCTTCTGGAGGTTGAGGAACACGTCGTAGGAATGGTGCCTTAGATCACCATCCGATTCATGCAAATGTCCATTAGAAACCAGCGCCTTTTCCCTGACAGAATAAGATTTGCTTTCTCCATTGACCTGCAGCTCAGATATCTTCAATCTAACCAAGATAGGTGACGCTAACCGCATTAGGATAGCTACACAGATCCATCGACTAGTGCCCGGGCTATCGAACGCTCCCACTAATCAGTGAACCGGTTTGCTTGCTATTTGACGCCTCTGCTGCGTTAATGAAACCCCGGTGGATAATGACCTAGGTTAAATACTTCTCCGGGTTGAGGCACATGACAACAAGTTCCCAAACATGGCTAGTGTCAATGCAAATCCCTTACTTGACGTTGAAAAACAAGCTTAAGCTTTGGTTCTGATTCTAGGGGTAGATACCCCTGAAACAAGGAAAAACAAAGTCATGCCATGAACAAAATTGAGCCCTTAAGTCGAACACCTGTGGTAGCTCTCGGCTCTCCGTTGCAAGAATGATGGCTTGCCCCTTTTTCAAATCAAGCTATACACAATCAATACATCAAGACCAGGCCCAACTAGAACCCCTTTGAAACATCAAAAGAGGCTCAAATTCCAATTTCGAGTCGCAAAGTGCCTAAAAAAGCTCTAGCCCCCGTACAAACCCACGCCAAGCCATGCAATCTAAGTGCAAAGTTCAATGATCGACAAAGATCACCCTTCTATTCCACATTCTGTCATCGCGCGTTGCACGCGTTCCACTTGACACCCCCTGGGGTAAATATACGCGGGGCCTTGTCCTACGTAGTTAGTGGTCGCATTCGAAATTTTTGACTTCGATTGCAGCAATGGCCGCCAACTTCGTCACCACCTACACCTAAAGCACCCAGGATCATCGATAGGTCCGATTACCATGTCTAGCCATATAAAGTTCGCAGAGCCGATTTCGAGGAAGGGAGGAACCGATGCCAGGATCGGGAGGGACAACAATGAAAAGGGGTCGGGGCAAAGGCCGTCTTCGCCTGGCAATGAGATTGTTTATCTCGCGGGATGGAGGCTGGTTCTTACCACTATAGGGTATGTGCGATGTTGAGTGCCTTGGGGATATTGTATGACGAGGACTTACTGGTGAATCGACAGACTTTTGATTGGATTCTTTCTCTCCAATCTCGACGTAACGATTGTGAGCTCGTCTCTGACCAGTATTACCGACAGCCTGGAGGGGTTCGAGAAGAGAAGTTGGATTATTACTGGATACTTGGCCACATACACAGGTATGATCACCATGTGATCCTTCAGTGTCTGACTCGCGTAAGACTTGGTTGACTTGTCCTTTTTCTAGGGTCTATGGCGATATGGACAAAAGTCAGCGATATCATCGGGAGAAAGCACACGACACTAGCTGCCCTTGTTATTTTGCTCGGTTTTTCGATAGGCTGTGGATGTGCCCAAACAGTGAATCAACTGTAAGTTCCCATCTCTCTCTTCCTGTGTTTCTGAAAGCTAAGCGGTGCGGTATAGAATAATTTTACGAGCGCTCCAAGGAATAGGAGGCGCCGGTGCTTATGCATTGGCGATACTCTGCGTCTACGAGATAGCCCCCAAAACAAAACTCCCAATCTACAGCGGTCTCATGTCACTCTGCCTGGCTCTGGCATCTTTGCTGGGCCCAATAATTGGAGGTGCCCTAGCACAAGCATCCGCCTGGAGATGGGTTTTCTTGATCAAGTATGTGACCTCTTAACTTCCAAGGTGACACATCTGCTAATACCACAAAGTGCTCCATTATGCTTCATCGCAATTGTTGCAATCACATTTGCGATGCCTACACACTTCGGCCTTGACCAACACACTCCCTCTTTCCGAACGAAAGCATCTTATCGCTCATTCGCCAACCTCGACCTTGTGGGATCATTGCTGGCGATGGTTGGGTCGTTCTTGCTTGTCACTGTCTTAAACGAAGCAAATCTGGCATTTCCATGGGACTCGGGAGCTGCAATCACCCTCATTGTTCTCACTGCTGTTGCCTGGATTGCCTTCTTCTCCTGGGAGTGCTATATTTCGGACATGCCCGGCAAAGATCCGATCTTCCCCAAACGTTGGCTTTTTGAGCGTCCATGGATGGGCATTCTACTGTGTGTCCACATAAATATCGATTCTGCATAGTGATTCATTCTGACCTTTACAGTTGCTCATTTGTTATCGGTGCGCCATTCAACGTCGTCCTCGTATACGTTCCACAGCAAGCCCAGCTCCTCTTGGGCAAGTCGCCTCTTGATTCCGGTATATATCTGATTGGATATTCTGCTGTTGCCGCCGTCGCTGCGGTTGCTATAAATCTTGCAAGTTCGAAGGGGCGTATACCGTTCGTTTATTCTCTGCTTGTGGGCTGTACAATCCACACTGTGGGTGTTGGGCTTCTATCAACGATCGCCACTGAGAAGGGCTTCCAGGCCACGGATATCGTCTATGGTGTCATTGCCGGCGCAGGGCTCGGATTGACGATGGGAATTCTTGTTCTATCCATACCATACATAGTTGAGGACAGAGACCTCGGTATGTGTCATTTTAATAACCTTCAATCTTCACATGAGACTTCAGTGGACTAACGTGGTTCCAATATAGCGATTGCCACTGGTGCAGTGGTTCAGTTCCGCTTCCTTGGCGGCGCTGTTGGGCTCGCCATTGCATCGAACATTTTCAATGGCCGTTTGGCGCATCATTTACACGGAATTTTGACAAGGCACGAACTGCACTTATTCCTTGAAAATGTGAAAGCGATAAATTCTCTATCTCCTAATCTACAAGAAGATGTTAAGGGTGTTCTTGCGGACAGTTTCACCACTCAGCTGAGAGTTATGATCGGATTCGCTGCGGCTTCAGTACCGGCAGCTCTGCTACTGTTGAAGCCAGGCAGACGCCAGCTTGCGGCCGATCGGCATTCAGGTTTATTCTCGGGGTAGCTAAAGTGGACACATTTTGAAGAACGATATTCTAGCTGCATCTGCCATGAGCCGTATTTTCCCGAACATTTCTTCTCTTCCATTGCAAAGCTCAGCCTGATCTATGCTCATGAGGTCCTATGTAGTTCTCTCCTATTGAAATTTCCACTTGGTCGAACCACCCTGATTCTTTTCAGGAGAAAATATCAGCCGCAGGACAGTATTTTATATCACAAGATCCACAGCCATTTCTTGGATAAAAAACCTGATAGGTGAAACAAAAATTTCTGGATAGATTTGCTGAGCGGTGGTGATCTCCACAGCATTCACGGTGGTCCCGCGGATTGCCTACAAGCTCGAAAGAAATGTTCAATTGAGTTTCAACTTCAAAGCAAGCATATAGATACGTCGGGGCTGGAACAATGCGTTGTTGTTTTTTCCAGTATCGCACAATGGATCTTGGCTATAAAAGACTCGCCCTCTGTGCCCTTGGTTATCAAATATCATAGCTGGACATCGACCGGCCCTGCCATCTGCTCATCTAACTATAACTTAAACACACGAGTAGAAAAGAAACTAATTTCAATTGCTCATACTTAAAAAGTTCACTGAGATGGAACATGCATTTCTCGTTGAGACTTGAAATACCAGGAAGTGTATTGTTGAAGCTGAGCACATTCGCATTAACTTGACTCAGCTAAGCAGCAGGAACCGTAAGTTACGGAGCTCTCAGGGAGCTCCCTACGTTTCGATAAACAGCAACGAGATTTTTCAATTTGTCTCCGGCAGTATGCACACAATCTAAAATTTATCAAGGTCGCGACTTGTATTTCCTTGCTGGCCCCCGAACGGAAGCTCGGTATAAACGATGACCCTGTAGTGCTTTTGGGATTGACTTTGATGGGAGAATTTGCCAAAAGAGCCAAAGAAGGGAGTACAATTACGGGAACTACCCTCATAAAATGAGAAGAATTATTTGATGTAAAGAATGCCCGCGAAAAACAAAAGCATTGAAGTTGATACTTCGTCGGACTTTCTTTCTCCAAGTGCATCCGGCGACACGCGACTTTAGTCCGACCGTGGTTTTTGACTTTTGGCGTCTTTCAACTACGCAAACATACGAGCAAATCTCACCCTCTAGGAAATCCGCCGAAAAGTCCCTCCAGATAGGCCTAATGTCGGTCTTATGTGTTCCAGGCTGCTCTCTAGAGCTCTCTATTTCCGGCGTGGCAAGGACAAGGCTTTACCAATTAAACGGCTGAGAAGCCACCTTCACCAGCCATTTCCGATCATCTTCTCCCATTATAGATACTTATAGACAACCCCAGTGCTTCTGACCATCTAGACTTGCTGGATACCCCCTTGGCCGTTTGTCCTTTTTCAAACAGAAACATCTCTCCGCCCCTCCACACAACCATGGGAAGCACCGGGTCAGCTTGGGCAAGTGAGCCCATCGCCATCGTCGGCCTGGGATGTAAGTTTGCGGGGGATGCAGCTAACCCCTCAGGCTTATGGAAGTTGATGGCCGAGGGAAAGAGTGCCTGGAGTGAGATGCCGGCTTCTCGCTTCAATGCCAAAGGCGCTTACCATCCCAACCATGAAAAGTTGAGCACAGTGAGTAACGCCCCGAACTGACAACCAAATATACATATCGTGTGAAATTGGTGCTGATACTCCGATTGTAGATGCACGTTAAGGGTGCTCATTTCATGAAAGAGGATGTCGGTCTGTTTGATGCAGCCTTTTTCAACTATTCTGCTGAAACTGCGTCGGTAAGATTCTCCTGTTTTGTGAACCTTGAGACTATTTCAAAAGTACTCCATAACGAGCGAAGGCTAACTTAACGATGAAAGACACTCGATCCCCAGTTCCGACTCCAACTTGAGTCTGTCTACGAAGCATTGGAGAATGGTGGGTGATGCCTTCTGCGGTCACCATGGTTCACGCTAATGTCATCGGACAGCTGGTCTTCCTCTCTCGCAAGTCGCGGGAACTAACACATCGGTTTTTGCTGGCACATTCGTTCATGACTACAGAGACTCATTGGTCCGCGATGAGGACAACCTTCCTCGATTCTTCCTAGCTGGCTCCGGTACCGCGATGGCTTCCAACCGGATATCTCATTTCTTCGACTTCCGTGGAGCCAGTATGACTATTGATACAGGCTGCTCCACGGCCCTAGTGGCTCTGCACCAGGCTGTCCAGAGTCTTCGCAATGGAGAGAGTGACATGAGTGTAGTGGGTGGAACGAATGTACTGATCAACCCGGATAACTTCAAGGCCATGGGATCCATCGGGTAAGCTCATACAGCAGGAGACACAACGGTTCAAAATACTAACATTTTTGGTGTACAGATTCCTATCCCCAGACGGAAGGTGTTTCGCCTTTGACTCACGGGCAAACGGCTATGGCCGTGGTGAAGGTGTTGCTACGATTGTGATCAAGCGACTGCGAGATGCGGTTGCAGCGGGCGATCCCATTCGCGCAGTGATTCGCGAGACCCTATTGAACCAAGATGGAAAGACCGAAACTATTACATCTCCGAGCCAGGAAGCGCAGCGCAATCTCATGCGCGAGTGCTACGCCAGGGCTGGCATTGACCCCCAGGGCACCCAGTATTTCGAGGCGCACGGAACCGGCACACCGACCGGAGATCCGATTGAGGTTGGCGCGATCGCAGCGGTTTTCCAGGGAAAAAAATTCAAGTCTGGTGAGCCCCTACGCATCGGCTCTGTCAAGACGAATATTGGTCACGCCGAGGCCACGAGTGGATTGGCTAGTATCATCAAAGTTACGCTGGCCATGGAGCATGGCATGCTTCCTCCATCCGTCAATTTCGAGAAGCCGAACCCGAAACTCTCTTTGGAAGAATGGGGCATCAAGGTGGCTAGGGAGTTTGAACAGTGGCCTTCTCTGCCTGGCTGTGTTCGCCGTGCGTCGGTCAACAACTTCGGCTACGGAGGAAGTAACTCCCATGTCATCATGGAGGATGGAGAATATTGGCTCGAGACCCTGAAAAGCACCAAGACCAATGGTATCACCAACGGTTCTAGCAAAAATGTCGACGGGTTGCCTTCTGCAAGCTATGAGACAAATCTCGTCATTTTAAGCGGAAAGGACGAGCAGACTACCAAAACAATGGTCTCTAACTTGAAAGCTTTCCTCGAAGAAGAGCAAAATGGCCTGAGTAATGAAGACGCGAAGCTCTTCCTACAGAAGCTTTCATACACACTTGGACAACGCCGCACCATGTTTCCCTGGCTCGCGGCTTACCCCGTTCCCATCAACCAAGGGATCGGGGCCGCTGTCACAGCTCTCGAATCACGCAGTTTCCGAGCTTCTAAAATTGCTGATCGCCAGCCACAGATCGCCATGGTCTTCACTGGACAGGGTGCTCAATGGTATGCCATGGGTAGGGAGCTGATCACAACTTATCCCGTATTCGGAGGCTCCATCACGGAAGCAGACTCTATCCTTCAGGAACTCGGAGCAGATTGGTCCTTGATGGAGGAGCTCCACCGTGACGCTGAGACAACACGAGTCAATGGAACTGCATTCAGTATCCCCATCTGTGTTGCCGTTCAGATCGCGTTGGTTCGTCTATTGGATTCATGGGGCATCAAGCCATCGGCCGTGACCAGTCACTCCAGTGGAGAAATTGGTGCGGCTTATGCAGTCGGTGCCATCAGTTTGCGCCGAGCTATGGGAATCGCATACTTCCGTAGCAAGCTGGCTGCTGATCTGACCCAGCGCTCCACAGCCAAGGGCGGCATGATCGCTGTCGGACTTGGTCGACAAGAGTCGGAAGGCTATCTGAAGACGCTCACTTGTGGCGGCAAGGCTGTCGTTGCTTGTGTTAACAGTCCGTCCAGCACCACTGTTGCTGGTGACCTTCCCGCAGTGTTGGAGCTTGAAGCCATGCTTCAGAAAGATGGAGTCTTTGGTCGACGACTGCGCGTTGAGACTGCTTACCACTCTCACCACATGTCGCCAATAGCCGAGGATTATAGAACGGCATTGAACATGATGGCTGATAATTCCACCAAGCCTGTGAACCGCATGGACTCCGTGGTCTATGGGTCTCCAGTTACTGGATACCGTATGAGCAACGCCGAGACAATCGCCGACGCAGATCACTGGGTTGGAAGTTTGTTGCAGCCTGTTCAATTCGTTGATGCCTTTACCGAGATGGTTCTGGGTGGATTGGGCTCTGAGGACGGTACCCCTTCTTCTAGTGTTGACGTCGTGGTTGAGATTGGTCCTCACACGGCTCTCGGTGGTCCTATTAAAGAAATTCTTGGACTGCCCGACTTTGAGGGTATCAAGTTGCCTTATTACGGCTGTCTTGTTCGGCACACCAACGCTATGGAGAGTCTTCAAGCTCTTGCTGCTGATCTGATGCGTGAGGGATACCCTGTCAACATGGAGGCTATTAACTTCCCCCGTGGTCGGGAATCTGAAGTTCGCGTTCTCACGAACCTACCCCCATACCCTTGGAACCACTCTACCAAGCACTGGATTGAGCCTCGTGTCAACAAAGCATTGCGTGAGAGATCGCGACCTCCTCACCACCTGCTTGGCCAGTTGATTCCCGGCACAAATCTCGATGAGCCATCTTGGCGCCACATTTTGCGACCACTTGAGGCACCATGGGTTCGCGACCACTCAATTCAATCGAACATGCTGTACCCTGGCTGTGGTTTCTTGTCCCTTGCTATCGAAGCAGTTCGAGAGCAGCTTGCCTTGACGGAAGAGACCCCGCGCGAGATTGCTGGTTATCACATCAGAGACATTGATGTCCTGCAAGCTCTTGTCATCCCAGATACCGCAGACGGACTTGAGATCCAGACTGTTCTGCGCCCTGTCAGTGACAAGGCGATCGGTGTCCGGGGTTGGAAGCAGTTTGAAGTCCTCTCTGTGACTGCGGATAACGAGTGGACACGCCACGTTCATGGGCTGATCTTGGTTGAATTTGGTGACCCTGAAAAGGCCATTGGTCTCGGCCTGGACAAGAATAAGAAGCCGCTGGACCCAACCGCAGGCTACGCCAAGCGCATCGACCCTAACGACATGTGGAATGTCCTGACAACCCATGGTCTGCAGTATGGCCCAACTTTCAGAAATATCAAGAGTATCATCCAATCGGGCAAGGAAATGCGATCTATCAGCGAGGTTGTGATTCCGGATACCTCAGTAGCTAAGGAGCTTCCCTACGACCATGTCGTGCATCCTGCTTTCCTCGATTCCGCAGCTCAGGCAACTTTTACTGCTCTGCCCGGTACCGAGTCACGCCAGGATAGTCCCAGAGTTTTCCAGTCAATTGACCGGCTTTGGATCTCTAGCAAAATCAGCAATCAATTCGGTCACGCCTTCATTGCGGACACCATTCTGCACCGTGCCGATGCCCAAGGAATCGAAACTGACATTACAATGGTTGACAAGGATGCCGCGGAAGGTGCCAAGCCCGTGCTCGAGATCAAGAAACTGGTTCTCTCGTCTCTGGGGCGCAGCGCAAGCAGCGGCGATGACAAGCCATGGGAGAAGCAGCTTTGCACCAAGATTCAATGGGCTCCCGATGCCAGTATCGGCTTCCAAACTGCCAAACTTACCCACTCGCTTGGTGCTAATGAGACGCGTGCCATCACGGATATCCGTCGTGTTTGCCTCTATTACATCCAAGAGGCACTCGCTGTCATTCCAGCAGATGAAGTGACGCAGCTTGGCCCAGATCAGGCTAAGTTCTACGAATGGATGCAGGAGCAAGTGCTCAAGGCCAAAGAAGGCAAACTGGGCGCTGGAAGTGCTTCATGGCTACTAGACTCGAAGGCTGAACGAGAGCTTCGCACACATCTAGCTGCGCAGTCCGGTGTGCCAGGCGAGATTGTCTGCCGCCTAGGTCAGAACCTCTTAGCGGCTCTTCTTGGTGACAAGACACTATTCGAGCTGATAAAGGAGGATGGCTTGCTAGAGAAGTATGAAGAATACGCTCAATCCCAATCTGTGTCGCAGGCAGCCGACTTGCTCCGACAGATCGTGCACAAGAACCCCAAGGCTCGCATCCTTGAGATAGGGGCTACTGCCGGGGCATTTACACTCGCGATGCTTCAAGCACTTGGGACTACGGAGACTGGTGGTCCTCTTGCTGAGTCGTATCACATCACTAGTGTCTCTTGTGATGAGGACTTTGAGGTGGCCGCCCGTGGAGAATTCGCCGCTTGGAATGACATTCTTTCTTTCGACAGCCTTGATATCGAACAGGATCCGTCTATGCAGGACTTTGAGCTTGAGTCTTACGATGTCGTTATCGCGACTCAATCTCTGTCGTCAACAACTTCGGTTTCAGCTTCTTTGTCTAACGCAAAGAGCCTCATGAAACCGGGCTCGAAGCTCCTTATCATTGAAAACACACAGGAAAGTCTTGAAAAGCATTTTGTTTTTGGGTTGTTTACTAGCCATGCTTCTTCAAGTGTGACATACTGGAGTGACTCACTTCAAGAAGCAGGGTTCAGCGGGGTCGATATTGAGATCCGTGACTGTTCGAGTGATGATCTGTATACTACAAGCACCATGTTGTCAACTGTACCTCTGCCCGCTCTTCCTCAGCTGCCTTCATCGGGCGAGATTGTTCTCGTGACCAGCAGCAAGACTGGACCTTCACTGGAATCGACATGGCTCGCGTCCTTGCAGCGAGCTATATCTCAGGCGGGGTCTTTCTCTGGCTCTCTGCCCGCCGTCCATGTCGTTGAGTCGGCCTCAGCTACGTCCTTCGCAGGCAAGGTTTGTATTTTCGTTGGCGAGATCGACAAGCCTCTCCTCCGGAACCTTGATGATACCACCATGGCTGGAATAAAGGCAATGGCAACCATCTCCAAGGGCCTTCTGTGGGTGACCCGAGGCGCTGCGGTTGAGTGTCGTAACCCGGACCTAGCGCTCGCTCAGGGTTTCCTTCGATCTCTGCGGAACGAATATCTCACCAAGCTCTTCATCACTCTTGACTTGGACCCCAATGATGCCCTTTGGTCTACGAAGAGTGTCCCCGCAATTGTGAAAGTTTTGAACAAGGCATTCAGCACCACGACCTCCGTTGTTAGCGAGTCTCAGCCTGGAGAGTTCGAGTATGCCTTGCGCGATGATAATATTTTGATTCCACGTCTTTTCAAGGATATATCTCGCAGCAAGAAGGTCTCACCTGATGATGTCGCTGATCAGGGTACATCTGCTGCTGTTATTCAGCCATTCTTCCAGCCTGACCGTCCTCTAAGCATGCACGTTGGTATGCCAGGTTTGATGGATACTATCGCGTTCGATGATGACCCAGCAATGTCTGCCATTGATGCAGGAGCCGATCTTGCACCGCATCTCATCGAGGTGGAGCCTCGTGCATATGGTGTCAACTTCCGTGATGTGATGGTCGCTATGGGTCAACTCAACGAGCGCATCATGGGTCTCGAGTGTTCCGGTATTGTCAAGCGAGTTGGCACGGAAGCTGCTGAACAAGGATACTCTGTTGGTGACAAGGTCTTCTGTCTCCTGCGCGGGCCCTTTGGTAGCCGCCTTCACGTCGAGTGGACGAGTGTCGCCCACATGCCGGAAGATCTCAGCTTCGAGGATGCCGCTTCGCTGCCAGTCATTTTCTGTACCGCTTATATCGGTCTTATCGATATGGCTCGTATGCGCAAGGGTCAGACTGTCCTCATCCACGCCGCCGCCGGTGGTGTTGGACAGGCAGCTATCATGATCGCCAAGCACCTGGGTCTTGAGATCTATGCCACCGTTGGAACACCTGACAAGCGCGAGTTGGTCATGTCCCAGTACGGCATCTCAGATGACCACATCTTCAGCAGTCGAGACACAAGCTTCGCTGCCGGTGTCCTAGCCGCCACCAACGGCCGTGGAGTCGATGCCGTCCTCAACTCACTTGCAGGACCTCTTCTCCAGGAAAGTTTCAATGTTCTGGCGCCATTCGGTTACTTCATCGAAATCGGCAAACGAGACTTGGAGATCAACAGCCAACTCGAGATGCGCCCCTTCACTCGCCAAGTCTCTTTCTCGGCCTTCTACCTCCTCGCGTCGATGAACCATAGCCCTCTCGAGGTCCATCGCGTGCTAAACAAACTCACCGAGCTGCTCACAGATAAGATCATCGCCCCAGTGCATCCGATCACCGCGTTCCCAATGGGCGACTTTGCCAAAGCATTCCGTCTACTCCAGACCGGAAAACACATGGGCAAGGTCGTGCTTGCAATCGGCCCGCAGGATATGGTCCCAGTTCTTCCACGTACTCCAACCGCCAAGTTCTCATCTGAGGCGTCCTACCTCATCGTTGGTGGCCTTGGCGGTATTGGCCGATCCATCGCTCACTGGATGATGGCTCGCGGAGCTAAAAACCTCATTTTCATGTCGCGCAGTGCTGGAAATGGCAAGAACATAGCTTTCCTTAATGAGCTTCGACAGACTGGTTCTATTGTCCAGGCTGTTAGTTGCAACGTCTCTGACCAGGCCGATCTAACTCGCGGATTGCGCTCGTGCGAGGAGAGTGGTCTACCGCCCATTCGTGGTGTTATCCAAGCAGCCATGGTTCTACAGGTGAGTCAATACTTTGAGGGGCCCTACTTCGAACAAAGTGGTCAGCTGCTAATTATTCATATCAGGACACCCTTTACGAACAGATGACGCTGGCCCAATGGCAAGCCGCCGTCCAGCCAAAGGTACAAGGAACATGGAACCTGCACAAGTCTTTCGACCGCGCCAACTCTCTCGACTTCTTCGTGATTCTTTCATCCATCGTCGGTGTGGCCGGTAACGCCAGTCAAACAAACTACGCTGCAGCTGGATCCTATCAGGATGCACTTGCCCGCTGGCGCGTTGCACAAGGCCTGCCAGCCGTGGCCATCGATCTTGGCGCTGTCAAGGGTATCGGTGTGGCTCAAGAGACCGCGGGTGTGCTTGCCCGCCTTCAGAGAATTGGTCACATTCCAGTCAACGAGGAGCAGGTCCTGGCTATTCTTGGTAGTGCCATTCTGGCTCCATACGATTCCCAGGCCGTCATCGGTTTACACTCTGGCCCTGGACCCCACTGGAAACGCGATGGCGATTCCCCGCTAGGACGTGACGCTCGGTACATTGCTTTGCAGCCTGCGGAGGGTGGTCAGAAGAATGCTGGCGCTGGTGATGGCTCAGGTTCATTGGCCAGTCGTCTTGCTAGCGCGTCTTCGCCTGAAGAAGTAGTTGACCTGGTCGGTGTTTCTATTGCCGAGAAATTGTCTGATATCTTCATGATCCCTGTTTCTGAAATTGATCTGACAAAGAAGCCTTCTCACTTTGGTATCGACTCACTTGTTGCCGTTGAGCTGCGCAATATGTTGCAGCAGCATGCTGGTGCTGAGGTGTCGATCTTTGGTATTATGCAGAGTGCCTCTTTGGCTGCGCTTGCCGCTGATGTTGCTGCTAAGAGCTCGCATGTCAAGTGGGACAAGTTCAAGGCTTGATACAAGCTTCTTTCTCTTTCTTTGTTTTAAGTTCTGCTCTTTAGTTCTATGGTATTGGCGTTTGTGTCAAGTGGGAGTCTGCGATATCTAGAATTTGCCCATCTTTCAAATATTATCAAGAGCCATTCACAATTGGTCATTTCATTCTACATACCTATCGCCTAGAGGCCTAGATGTATCACGGGTCAAGCAAGAGTGTCTCTATGTCCTACAAGGTGCCACTTTATAAGTAAGCATGATTCTAAAACATTAAGAAGTATTCAAATTCGGTCAACTTTCTCGGTTCAGCAGACAGCTAGTCATAGCTCGATCGCAGAGTGCAGTCATAGCTCCTTCTTGAACACAAGTGTGGAATGCTGTCTTTCGTTGGGTCGTGCTCACAACCCGAGGTCTTTCAAGCTAAACATGACGATTAGTATGAGACTGATAAAGATCGGAATTAATTCCTTACTCGATCCCAAGAGGCCTGCAAATACTATCAGTAAAGTTCTCTTCGGATCACAGATCGAAGACTCACAGTTTGGTACCATTACCCAACAGATTATCACCAAGCACATCCTTGATAAGCCCGGCGCTGTCCCGCTTCTCGGCCTGAGTTTGGACAGGGGCTGCAAAGACCGCAGTCAGGAAAGAAAGGACGCAAATGATTTGAAGTTTCATTTTGTCTAGTCTTGCGTTAGCACTGCGATCATAGTCGCAAGTTATGAAACATACTTGACTGAGATGTGAGCTTTGTTTCGGAGAAGCATAAAGTGGATTGCATGAGGAGTTTAAATGAGCTTCAATTGTAGGATATGAACTGGTTCTCTCATATACCTGCATTCGGTGTCTGAGAAGCTTTTGGAAAATGCCGCGCCTAGTATGATGAATGTAGATCATTTACCGCATGCGGGTGACAGTCAAAAGTTGTCGACGTTCTAAGTAAGGCTATGGTTGATCATTCCCGAGGTTCTCGAATGCGGGCGCTCTTGTTTGTTTTGAGTGCCAGTATAGCATGAAATGGGGGTTTTAATGTTCTTGGATCATCCTGTTTAGCGACTCAACCTGAACGCCGGGCCTTTCCCCAAATAGGGGTGGCCATCTCAGATCGATGAGTCTGACAACCCCCCAAATTGAGGGCTTCGTGAATGTGCTCTCTTGTTTCAAAGCAGCGTTAATCCAGCGCCTATCAGACTGCCTCGGGATTCTATCACGTAAAGAGGTGGAGCGCTCATCAGAAGATTTTCGTTTCTCAAAACTAGACCATATCCCAAAGCCCCTGTCTATACCTATTCACATGAATAGGCACTCGATTTCGAGACAAATTGACATCCATCTCATGTGATGACGTTTCCCCATAGCATTTCCCTTTCTCTCTGCCCTGGGCTCCGGTACGCTCCTCGGCAGGCCGATCGAAAATCTCGTCCCTGAACTGGTATTAAGTGGATATGCCGAAACCCCATCCCCACAATCATTTTTCCCCGCGCCTGCTCCACAAAGGTAGCCCGGGATGGACAGGCCCGGGGGTCTCGGGGTCTCGGCTCTAAAAATCTCTTTCCTTCCTTGCTGTTCAAACTTCCCCGGGTAGCACAGCTGCCGGATTGCATTTGTCATGGCTGGAGACTATATCCCAAGGTGCAATCCGTATAAAGCCCTACCGGCCCCGAGCGCCGTCCTCGTCCAAGCCGACTTTTCCCACCCCGGCTGACCCGCCCCCTATCATGACGGGGAAGGGCCCTGACCCGGCCCCTGCGGCGGGACTGAAATCGGTATGTCAATCAATTCATTCCATACAAGCAATATCATCCCCTAAACTGAATCAACTAGGTCCTCCCAGCAAACGCGGAACCATGGTGGAAAATACCTCACCTAGTAACCCTTAACGGCTACATCGCCTGCCTGGTTCTTTTCTCCAGTACAGTCGGCTACGACATATCCCTCATGAATGGCCTCCAATCCCTAGACCAATGGCAATCGTTCATGCACCAGCCAACCGGCGCCTGGCTTGGCTTCGTCAACGCCCTGCAATCCCTCGGTAGCATGCTGTTCCAGCCCGTAAGCGCATGGTCTGCCAACCGTCTCGGGCGGAAGCGAACAGTTCTCATCGGGTATTTCTGGCTAGCTCTGGGCGTTGGTCTTCAAGTTGGGGCCCCGGACGCGAAGATGTTTGTTGCATCGCGTATGTTCGTTGGTATTGCAGGTGCTTGGTTCCAGGCTGCCGTTATCTTGGTCACTGAAATTGCGTATCCGTCGCATCGCTCTTTTGTTACGGCTGTATATATGTGTCAGTACTATGCTGGGTCGCTGCTGTCCGCTTGGATTGCATTTGGGACGAGGAATATGGATAGTAATTGGGCTTGGCGGATTCCTTCGCTAATGCAGATTGCCCTGCCGCTACTTGCTCTTCCGGGGGCTTTACTTATTCCCGAGTCGCCTCGTTGGTTGATTCGGCAGGAGCGAGTCGGGGAGGCGAGAGATATCTTGGTACGGCTCCATGCTGGAGGAGATGAGAGATCTGAACTTGTTGCTTTTGAGATGGACGAGATGATGCAGTCGACTGTGTTTGAGCAGAGTGCAAGCGAGAACTCTCGCTGGATCGACTGTGTCAAAACCCCGGGTAATCGGTATCGACTGTTCTTGAGTATTTCGCTGGGCTTCTTCTCCCAGTGGAATGGAGGGTGAGTTTCACCAGGGAACTCCGCCTTCACGACACGCTAATGACCCTTCCCTTAGTGGCGTTGTCTCCTATTATCTCACCCTGATTCTGGAGACAATCGGCATCACTTCCGTGACAGAACAAACATTAATCAATGGATTCCTTCAGCTCTGGAACCTAATAATGAGCATTGTCGGTGCAGGCCTCGTTGATCGAGCCGGCCGACGAACACTCTTCCTAGCATCCACAATAATCATGCTTCTCAGCTACATCTTGATCACGGCACTTTCCGGCTGCTTCAACACATCAGGTACGGCAGCAGTCGGAACCGCGGTTATCCCATTCCTGTTCCTCTACTACGCCGGCTACGACATCGCTTTCACTCCGCTGATGCTAGCCTACCCAGCCGAGATCTGGACATTCTCTCTGCGTGCCAAGGGAGTAGCCATCTGCGCGATGGCCAATTATGGGGCACTTGTTTTCAACCAGTTCATTAACCCCATTGCTTTCGGGGCCATCTCTTGGAAGTATTATTTTGTCTTTCTGGCCATTTTGTTAATTGTCCTGGTTACTGTCTACTACTATTACCCCGAGACGCATGGCTACTCTCTTGAGGAGATGGCTGTTATTTTCGATGGCGAATCAGCACGTGTTACAAATGGCATTTCAGCCAAAATGGAGCTACAGGAGAAACGCGCTGGGAATATTCCACATGTTGAGACTGTATGAACCCTCAGGAGGTCACATTCTTGAGGCTAATCAGTGGGGAGTGATCATGACTCTCAACAAACATAACCCGCACAAACTCAGATAGAAAAAAATAACTTCATAGCCAGCTTCACAATTCTCACTTCACACTCCCATTCGGCCCTTTCACAACCTCCCCACCCGCCTTCAAAACACCCTCTCGATCAGTAATAGCCCTAGCCCGAATATAAGGATCCAACGTCCAGTAATTACTCTTGAAATCCTCAATAACCGCATTTCTGCGCGCCTTCAACTCCTCCACCTTCGCCTTGTCCTCCTTCCCTTCAGCAAACGTCGTCGCCGAAACCCAGGCCGCGGTAGCAGCGAGCATCCGCAACCCAATCATCATGCGCTCATACATAAGAGAGTCGCGAGTCGCGGTATCCTTCATGACGGCGTTTTCATCAGCTACTGGCTCAATGTACTTATATTTCCAATCTTCGTCGCCAGCAAGCTCTTGGGGGATTTGATCGCGGGAGATGTATTTGTCTAGATCGGAGACTGAGCGGGTGAAGTGGACTTTGGAGGCTACCACGGGATCCATCCAGCCATGAATCAGTCTCCAGATTCCTGGTGGGGTTAGTATTTCTTTGAAGAGGCTTCGCCTTGATGGAGCTTACCAGAGAAAATCCAGGGTGCGTTGTGGATCAGTAGTTGGCCCAGTGATTCGGGGTAGTTTGCTTCGAAGCATTTGATAATGAACTTGACCGGTTGGTATTCCTGCAACAAATGTCAGCTTGACCATCAATCGTGTGGTTGGAAGGATCGGTACCATATTAGACAAAGAGAAGCCAGTCATATCAAAAACAATAGTCTGCAAACATGTCAGCTCAAATCCCCGCCCTGAAACCAAAGCAACAAACATACCCCCGTCTCAATGGGCGGAACCACAATCAGCCTCGTCGTCTCAATAACATGGACAATATACCTCTCCAGAACTTCTTCACTCTGAGCGCCAGGCTTATGAATCTTCACGCGCACATAGTTAACCGGCCGACCCTGCCTATCAAATCCATGCAGGAAACTCTTTCCCATCTTCAATTGCGCAACAAAATCCTTTCCCTCTTTCTGCTCCTTGGCACTGAGCTTCTCGTCCCTAGACTGCTCAAGAGCATACAGCTCCCCTTTAGGCAAGATATCATCATCGACATGCACCTCCTTCCTCCACAGAATATTGGACATCATCATCGCGAAACCCTTTCCAACATCCCACTTCCTGGCTCGCAGGAATCGCAGCAGAAGACTATCCGGATTTTCTTGCTTGATCATTTTCAATATCGAAAAGACCATTTCCTCGGGTGTCATCTGCGACAAGATCTTTTCCATGGATTTGATCTCTGATTCTTGAACCCCCCGTTTCCGTAGTGACGCGAACACGGCAGAGAAGTGCTCCGGCGTGACTTTACGCGTAGCCATTTCGGACATGATATTCGTCTTTGCATCCTTGTTTATCAAAGAGTCCACTTTATCGAGCGACTTCTGCTCTTTACCTTCTCCCTGTGTCTCAGGGGCATCTTTGAACTCAGTATCAGCCTCGCTTTTCAGCGCGGCGACGATGGCTTCCACTGTTGGCTCATGAACACGATCTAAGACTTCGAACAATTTATTTGGTGGACCCTCTGGAAGCTCGACTTCATATACAGCCGAGAGGACAGATGCCGCAGATGTGAAGAGGAGAACCCAGAGTTCTCGCAGCTTGGCATCTTGAGTAGGCGTCAGGTTGTGGACATACCCCGTCGATGTATCAGGTGTGATAGTCATGATTTAAGTAGGGTATAGGTTCAACGTCAGATTCAATTCCAACGGTGAAATCAAATTGATTAAATACAACGTGTGCTACATCCCCTTTTTTCAAGGGTATTCGGACCACATGAATCCATGGAATCGAACCCCATATTTGGGGCTGCCGAGGCGCCCCCCCCTCAACAATTTCACAGGTCGTAGCCTCGGCGATTGCCGGTCGATCATCTGGATACTAACAGTTGGGGGGACCCGGGCCCCTTGACGGGTCCTTGACGGGTCCTTGACCGAACACGACCGTGGGGAAACCTCCAGGGCTATGCGGGGGAGCCTCTTGGCTTATGAACTGAAGTTACAGTCCGAGATTCAAATGAACGTGAAATTAATATTGTGATTAGCATGTATAGATCGACTCAATACAGTAAACCGTTGCCAAAAGAACATCCCAAACTTGCGAAATGCGCGGAACACACTAAACCCCATCTACTCCACCCAATCGCCCAACTTGGTCAACTTCAAATGCATCCCCTCAATAGGCTGACTCGTCAACGTCCCCCCGAACGTGATCTTCTGCTTCGGATCCTCCAACTCGAGCTGAAACTGTCCAAAAAGACCTGCGACCGCACACCGGAACTCAGCCTTTGCAAAATCCTTTCCAATACACGCTCTCGGTCCATGAAGAAACGTGATCTGTGCGAAATTCGTAGACGCCCCGCCATGCTTATTCGGCACTTGCTTGCCTTCTTTATCGGTGTCAATCCACCGTTCAGGAAGGAAGTCGTCCGCCGTCTCCCCCCAGAATTCATAACTGCGGTTGACGGATTGCGGACATAGTGCGATGGTTGTGCCTTTGGGGATTCTTTTGCCTGCGACGGTCGTGTCGCGGATGGCTTCGCGGCCTGTCATGGGGACCGTTGGGTAAAGACGGAGAACTTCTTGAATTACACCATTTAAGTAGGGCATTCCTTCGAGGTCTTGCCAAGATACTGAGGCATCAGGGGAGGGGATCGTAGCGCGAATTTCTTGACGGAGTCTCTCTTGGATATGTGGCTCTTTGCTGAGGTGGTAGCAGCACCATGTGAGGGCGCCAGCTGTGGTTTCGTGCTAGATGCTGTTAGGTTCGTATTCTCGCAAGAGCCAAGTGACTTACGCCAGCAGCAAGAATCGTAAGCATCTGATCAACCAGCTCACTATCACTGAACTCTCCACCTCGCATCATCGTTCCTAAGATATCACCTTCGGCCGGCTCCTGCTCGCTCTTTTCACGTGCAATCTGTGCTCGTTTCTCAACAAGGAGATCATGAAAGACCCGTCGCAAATACTTGACTCGTCTCGGGAGAGTAATATTCGCCTTGCACGGAATAAGTTTCACCATCCACTGAGGGAACAGCAGCGATGCGCCGAAAAGGACAAGCAAATCAGCAGAAGGCTTCAGAATAGCCGTATAATTCTGCGAGACGGGATCATTCTCATTCTCCAGAGACTGGAAATCACGGCCTATGGCCGCAGGACCGATAATATCCAGCGTCAACCGACTACGCCATTAGCCCTTTTGCCTCGATTCCCGCATAATAAAGAATACAAGAATACTCACTTTGCCCAACCCCCAATCTCAACCACCCCAACTGGCCCAACTGGCCCATCTGACCTACATCCAGCCTCCGGCTTAATCCTGATCTCCTGCTCCAACTGCTTCAAAAACAGCTGCGTTTTGCTCCACATAAGCGGATACATTGCACGAATATTTCTCATTGTGAACGCAGGCGTAACAGCCTTGCGCTGGGCGCGGTGCGCATCACCTTCGGAGAGAATCAGTCCGTACCCAAGACCGCGTGCAAGGAATGCTTGTCCGCCAGGCGGTTTGATGAAGTCATAGCTGTTCGTATTGAGTACGTCCATCAAGGCCCGGTGGTTTGTTGCGAGGAGGAAGCTATAGTTCAGGGCTTCGCGGAAGTGGATCAGGCCTTCGTTTGGGATTGTGCGGAGCCAATCTATGGTTATTTGGCCTCGGGGATGACGCATGAAGACTTTGGCGCCGATTAAAGGGCCCTTGGATTGTTAGATGGGGTCTTTGGAATGGAACGGGGTATGGTACGTACATGAACTGTTGGAAGGTGTCTCAGGGGATTGAAGAAGAATGGCCAAATAAAGATGTTCCATATTGCTAGTATGATGAAGTTGATGCAGAATGCGTAGAGAAATATGGTCGCTGGTCGCTCTGGGCTTAGCTGGGAGGCGATTACCAGGAGGGTCTCGATGACTGTAGAAGGGATCAGAAGGAGGAGACTATCTTTTGCGGATGCCATATTGAGTATTTTCGAAGAGTGTCCAGTTAGTTCAAAACTTCCACAGGCCCAAGTTTCTTTTCTAGGGTTCCATTGCCATACGCCGATGAAGTTTATATACTACGATCCGCGCTCACATGTGTTTAGACATGATGTATACACTTTGAGAGTTACTCATCAACCTAATATCCAACCAGTCTCTGATCATTCACAGCTCATTACTACCTACAGGCATGACGAATGGATACAGTAGTTCGAATCTCACATGAAGAACACCTAGGTGCCAGGGTCCGCCTAAAATGCGGGGAACGTCCCTAGCGCGTCCCAACAGTTTCTGCCTCCGATTAAAGTTCCGGGGATGTCATAGAGATTTAAGCGAATCTGGGGGGTCTTCACATGTGAGATGGTTCGGACGCACTGCTTACTATCTTTGGAATGCAGGGCGAGCGAACCAGCGTGTGCTTTGAGTGGAATTACCCATTCGGGTATATCTGGTGCACATCGATGATACTTCAGCTACGCAGGTTTTCCAGCTATAACGACTACTATTCCCATGGAGACAGGCTGTAAAGATGCCCGAATATTACATAACCTTACATTTCGGGCCATCGCCGTAGAGTTCGTGTGGTGTGTAGTATGTGGCAGTTGGGCTTTGGTGCTTGGCTCAGCGCTCGATGGCCTCTGGTGTGTACGTGTGCCTGTTCTGCATCGCACTGCCATTACAGTGGAAGATACAAGGTAACCCTTTTTAGGTGCCTAGGTAGAAAACGGGTATTGAATCATTGACATCCCATTATTTGCTGTCCTAAATGTACAGTCTTCATACATCGTGTAAACACATCAAACATTATGAACAAGGTAGATCCAGTTCCCTCCCATAAGATCTCTTCATAGCAAAACAATTAGCTCGAAAATGCAATAGCCAATGGCTTTATATATGCAATCAAACAGACCCTTATTTTGGATTATACTTTTCCTTCCAGATCCTATCAACCCCGTTAGCCTTCTCATCATATGAAAGAACACAAGACAAAACATACCATGAATTCCCAACCGTCGGACCGCTACTCTCCTCGGCAAGTCTCAGATACTTGGCTGCCTTGAACTGTGGCTCGCGGATTAGCAAAAATTCAACAATCTCTATCAGTCTCTCATACCTTGTCCTTCTTCCCACCAAAGCCCTCAAGATAACACCAAGCAACCTGGTCCATGGCATCCGTGTCACCCAGATTAGCCGCCGTCTCGTAATATTGCCGAGCGGCAAAAGGGTCTTTCGTCACGCCCCAGCCATTACGGAAACAATTCGCCAGCTCGAACATGGCGAGCACGAGTTCGCCCTTAGCGACGCCGCCTTTCTTCATGCCAGCGCGGAGTGCCTCAGACTCCACGGCAGCTGAGTTTGACGCTGCGGCTGATAAGTAGGAAACAGCTTGGGTTTCATCTTTGGCACAGCCCCAGCCGTGTCTAATTGAGTCAGTATATATTGAAGAGACATAACAGAAACGAAAGCATACCGAAGAGCCAGTCCGTACAAAACCTGACTGAGAGGGTTATTCGTGTCATTGGGATCAGCCAGCTGGCCGAACATTTGCGTTGATCGCTCCAGATCTAGATATAATCAGTACCGCATATCAAACCTCACTTTCAAGCCCGACTTACCTCCAGCCTCATGCAACCGAATAGCCTCCTGGATATTAATCTATAGGCAATCATTAGCACTTCACCGTGAAAACATCCAAATCTATAAGAAGCTCACATCATCCTGCACACCCACATTCCCCTGACTCGAACTCCTCGACCTCGCCTTCTCACTCCCCAGATCCCCCTCCGATGCTCTCGGCGAAAGCTGCCCGAACTGCGGATTCTGCTGGACAAGCACCGTTGCCCTCCTCTCCCACGCCTCCTCCCTCGCCTCCTTGTCGCCCTGCTCGTCTACCATCTGCGGCAAATCTGCCGGAATATTTGCAGACGAATTACGTGAATCACTCCGGTGCCGCCCATCAAGGTGTAGCAGGCTCGAGAGGCGGCGCTCACGGGTGCGGGTTGGAGATGGGCTTGAGGCGGATTCGGAGCGGGGGGAACGGTGGAGGAATGAGAAGCTTCGGCGTGGGGTTGAGAGGGTTGGGCGACTTTCCGGGGATATTGGGGAGAGAGGAGGGAATTCGTCGGTGTGTGTTGGTGGTGTGATTATTTCTTGGGTATTGGTGGTCGTGCGCATGAAGGTGATTTCGGGGGTGGGCGGAGAGATTGACGTTTGTTGCGGTTGTCCGGATTGTTTCTCTGAGCTTAATTCGTCCCGTTTCTGGAGGATATTTCGTAAGGATGGCATCTTGTTCGATTAACCAGGTTATATCTGATCTGATCCGATTTGATGTGATGTGATGCGATGCGATGCGATTCAGATGAGATGAGATGCGGAGGCGTGGGGATGGGGCGGGCTCGGGTGGAGAAAGGGAAAGACTAGAGCGCTCGATAGATACAAATGCTTCAGGTGAAGGGAAGGACTCAAATTCAAAGATGAGATTTAAGAATAGAAAGAAAGGTTGCGGGGGGGCTGTGCCGCAGCTGAGACACCCGGTCCTTGGGTCAGGCGGCTAATCTAAATGAAGGCGCTTAGCTTGATCATGGAAACTAACGGTTGCTCCTGGGGGTTTTGTTACCGGTAGTCAATACAAATTACGGATGTACATATACAGTATGCTCGTGGTTCTATAGATATGATGCACGTCCCACATATGTGGCTTTCTGGGTCGGTCCCTGCGTCCCTAGCGTGGCCACCGGGTTTACCAGGCACTCCGGAGCTTCGGAGTAACTTCATCCTATTCGGGCGTCGAAGACGTCCAAGGCTAAGGTATGTACTTAGCTTGATACGTAAGAATCGCCGAGTCCTGTAAGAGAAGTACCCAGGTGGGTACTGATCCTCCCTTGCAACAAGCTAGCCGTTTGATGGCCATTACGCGTTCCACTCCAAAACGATCAGATCCGAGCTCTATCAACCCAATACGAGCGGGAGAGTTTAGGTCGAGCTAAAGACGAATATAGTTGGAATCAAATGGTATTGCAATTCTAACTCAGCAGATGCAACTAGCCCCTATAGTTTTGTACACAATGGTAACAGCCGACGGAGCCACCGGTGACCATTTAGATAGCCTTGGCAGCCATGATGCCTGTTCACCGTCAGTACGAGATTAGAAAGCCACCAGAAGGGGAAGAAAACTCACGCTCAACATCGGCAACGCTCTGCTGGAGGATCTGCTGCAGAACCTTGGGGTTCTCAAGCTCCTTCTGGATCTTGCCAATGATGGACTCGGCAAGCTCACGCTGCTGGCGCTGCTTGACCTGGGCCTCGTAGCGGACCCAGGAGTCAAGAACCTGCTTGGCCTCAGTAGCCAGAGCGGTGCGCTGCTCGAGCTCGAAGGCCTGGGACTCAAGCTGGGCGGTTTCCTGCAAAAGCAAGTCAGGTCGTATTCCCGGGACACACATCCAAATCAAGGGAATCCTACCTTGGAAACAGCGAACAGCTGCTTGGTGACATCGACAACACCGGACATCTGGGAGACGTTGTCAATGCGCTGCTGGACAGCGTTGGTGTGGTCGGCACGGGCAGCGTTCAGGATGTCCTTGTGCTTCTGGACCTGGCCCTCAGCCCAGTCGCGGTAAGCAGGGCCACCGTACTTGGCAACAGCGGTGAAGACGGAGAGCAGACAGAAGGCGGCGACGGTCTCCTCGTTCATCACGTAGAGCTCGTTGCTGATGGCGGCAATGGACAGACCGGCGACGGCGGACAGAGTGGCGGTCTTGGACACCAGCGAGTTACCGGGGATGGCGTTCAGGATGGACTGAGCCTTCTTCTCGGGGGTCTCAGCGGGGGTGGTGGCCGCGCGGGTCGAGGTCAGGATAGAGACGGCAGGGACGCGGGCAGCGATGGTCGGCCGCAGCCGGGCGGCGCCTAAGGGGTGAAGTCAGCATCTGAAAGGAGCGAATCGAGTTGGCGAGGTCGGGAAGCGGCGTACCCATGGCACTCTTAGCAAGACGCGAAGCCATTGTTGGAGATGAGAGAGATCTTGAATATGTGAGGGTGAACCGAAGAGGAGACTTGAAGTCGGGACGGCTAGGACGGGCTTGCAAACACTAACCGTTTAAGGCCTAGCGCAGGCCCGCGGAAAAACCCGGTTCCGATCTTCGAAAAATCGCAGCCGAGAAAAAAAGTAACAAGTTCCGAGATCACGCCAGCGACTTTGTTCTTGCGCCCAAAATGCCTGCGCCGGTTGAGCTGAACAGCTCCAAGAAGCGCAAGAGCTCCAAGAATGGTGCCCCTTCATCTAAGCGCCGTGCGGTCGCTGAAGAAAGCGCCGATACTGTTACAATCGAAAAGCTCGAGAACCAAGTCGCGGAGTCGCGCAAATACTACAACAATATTGCGACCCTAATTTCCATGCTGAATGTTGATTCCTCAGCCAAAAAGCCCGAGCTTGCTGTCGCGGTATCTCTATGCCGAGTGTTCAGCAGATTGATTGCCGCGGGCAACTTTGTCGATTCGAGCCGTGCGGCTGAGAATGAGAAGATCGTGGTGGCATGGCTGAAGGAGCGGGCCTTGGAATACCAGAGAGCATTGATGGCTATCATGCGTGAAGCCGACATTGACTCTCAAGTCACTGCCTTGAGCTTGGCTATGCGCATGTTGAAGGCACGCATTACACACATCCCGGGAGCAGAGCACAACATCTGGACTACCCTTTTCAGCGAGACTTTCGAAGCCATTGTTGAAGCTCGGGATGGCCAGGACTTGCGGACTGAATTTGTCTCCAAGTACCTGAAGGAATACGAGGATATCAGATATCACTTCTTCGTGCAAGTATCGTAAGTACTACTTTTGGGGATGGAAGTATACAAGTTATTGACTTTAAACAGTGAATACGCAGAGACTCGCCGAAGCTCCACCACCCTCGAAACCCTCATCTCCCTCCTCTCCGCCTGCGGCGACGTCCCCAGCGAAACCCACAAATTTGAGACCTTCTTCGTGGAGCCCGCAGCCACCAACAAACGCATCCATTCCGTCAACGCCCACAAGAAGCGAGCCCAGGAAGCATGGCTGGCCATCCTCCGCAACAACCTCTCCCAGGCGCAGCGCAAGTCCCTCCTCCGCATCATGGTGCACACCATCGAGCCATGGCTTAGCCGACCAGAGCTCCTGATGGACTTCCTGACGGACTCCTACAACGCGGGCGGCGCCACCTCCCTCCTCGCTCTGTCGGGTCTCTTCTACCTGATTCAACACAAGAACCTCGACTACCCCCAATTTTTCGCAAAACTCTACTCCCTCCTGGACGCAGACCTCCTGCACTCCAAGCACCGCTCCCGCTTCTTCCGCCTGCTGAACACCTTCCTCTCTTCCACCCATCTTCCCGCCGCCCTCGTCGCAAGCTTCATCAAGCGTCTTTCTCGCCTGGCTCTGAACGCCCCTCCGTCCGCTATCGTGGTCATCGTTCCGTTCATGTATAACCTCTTCAAGAGCCACCCCACCTGCACTTTCATGATGCACCGCGAGATCCGCGACAAGGAGCTAGCAGCCGATATCGAGGCGCGGGGAATGGACGATATCTTTGATATGTCGGAGTTGGATCCCCTGCACACGAACGCCATCGAGAGCAGTTTGTGGGAGATTGAGACTCTGCAATCTCACTACCACCCCAACGTTGCGGCTATTGCCCGCATTATCTCGGAGCAGTTCACAAAGCAGTCGTATAACCTGGAGGATTTCCTGGACCACACGTACCAGGGCATGTTGTCCGGAGAGCTCGGTACTGGCGAGAAGCCGCTCCGCAAGCCGCCCGTTGTGGAGTACCAGATTCCCAAGCGTATTTTCACGGATCGTATGCTTGTTGAAGATGGTGGTGTGGACTCCGGCCCGGGCAGCTTCATGCGTGCGCTGTGGGACTTTTGATTTTGCATATACTCCATGAGTTAGACGGGCGTTTGAGGTTCTGTACAAAAATTCTATTGATCCATGACATGCCAGTCATGAAAAGAAAGTCTACCTAAGCTATCTACTTAAAAATAAAAGCTGTCCCAAGGAATGAACAAGTGCAAGTCAGTAGCGTCAACAAAACCATCCCTAACTTTCTCATCACCTTCGGCCGACCACCTAGACCAACCTCGTCGTATCAAGAAAATAGTTTCCAGCTGGTCGAAACCCAGGCGCAACTCGATAATGCCTCGCATTATGTATCAACACAGTTCCGCTCCTCTGGTCCAGACTCGGATCATACTGCAAGAACGGCCTAGGCTCAGGCTCACCAACCGGCAACACAACAGCCGTATGTCCATCCGCAAGCGTATGCGGATAATAATCACAAAGCAAATCCAAACTGAAAATGCCCCTCTTCATATCTGTCAATTTGTCCTCATCAATAATCAAATACGTTGCATTCTGAACATGCGCGCGCATCTTCTCGAGAATCCTTGCTGCCTTGCGTCGCCGATGTTCACGCTCCCAGTAGGCGTGTTCCTCAATAATTTCCAGTTCCCAGATAACCTGCGCCTCGGTCGCTGCGAAGTGGACGGAGTTGTGGATTAGATTGAGCATTGTATGGAGGCGTGTTGCTGTTTTGTTGAAGAGCGAATCTATTCGTCGCCGGGCTTGGTTCACGAAACGAGTTATAACTTGTAGGGTTTCGTGGGTGTACATGCTGTCCCAGAAGGAGAACCAGATGGCGGATCCGACGCGGGAGGCTGTTATGCGGCTTAGTTCCAGGGTTGTTATCATGTTGTGGCAGACTGTTATTGAGGATACGGCGCTGAGGCGACATTGGTTAAGGGATTCGAGGTGGTGGGCTGTTAGTAGGGAGTGGCTGGGGCTTGTGTCTGGGTTAAGGAGGGGGTTTGGGGAGTCTGAGGTTGTGTAGTAGCGAAGGTGGCCGCGGGATGGTGTTGACAGGACTGTTGAAGTAAGGCATGAGCTGGATGAGTATGCGTAGCTGAGTGTTGTGGCTCGTGTTTCTCGTGAAAAGTGGGCTAGGCCTGAGGATGGTCCGTGGGATGAAGATGATGTTGAGCCTGGCTCAGTGTCTGGTTCTGGGGTTGAGGATGTTGCTCGTTGGAAGTCTGGCATCGGTATGTATAGAGAAAATGGTTTGTTGTGAGATTGAATCGTGGGGTAGTGAGTGAATGTATAGCTCAATGAGAGATTTAGCATTAGCAATAAAAGCAGTTCTTGAATAAAAGCAGTTCTTGAATAAAAGCAGTTCTTGAATGAGTGTGTTTGGTCAGTCAATGAATCTCAGGCTGAACTCGACTCGCGGTGTAGTTTTAGTCAAGGAAACTGCTCTCCAACTTGTCCTATTGCCAGATCAGGCAAGATAGTCAAGTCCCAAAGGACCTCCTCATTATTTCTGAGCATCCTATCTTCATCTTCTATACCCAGGATGTTGTCTTATCAACCTCGTTTTCCGTAGAACTCAATGCTGGCTGATCGAGTATGAAGATCAACAACAATAACAACAGAGTATGGAATAGACTCGTCGATCCTAAGACAAAGTCACGCGATCGACCACACTTGAGACACTTGGTCGGATTTGGAAGAAAGAATTCTCCTTCCAGCGAGCAGTGGACAGTGCAGATGTCAACGGCCGCCCTTGCTTATATGATCGACCAAGCTCTATCTCAGCGGCGTCACCACTATCAAGATCCCATCACCCCTTGGAATGGATTTTTAGGGTCAGAGTTGCCTCAAGACATGCGCAGAAATGTTTGGCCTAGCCGAACGGGCACGGTCTACAGCCCTATACCTGGATACTTTGACACCTTGATTCTGGGCACTTGGGGCACTCGGGAAGGGATGGCATGCTCGACTGAACCATTCTGTGACTATCAACTCTGGTCAGTCCTGAGTACCCGATTGATGATTGTTCTCTGACCGGGAGGCTGACATGGAGATGTAGGTCTCATCCCAAAGACAGATGAGAATCCCCATCCATCACGACATCGCAAGCCTCAATACCCTTCAACGGCCATTCGTTCCTAGTCGGCTGCGGGGAAGAATTCCAATTGTTTACTGAAGGCATTCCCCAAACAGTTGGATGGAAATACCTCTCCCACCACTCAGAGATGGTGCTGAACTAGCCCGGAATGTCACATTCCCTCCCATTGCGCAGTTAGTATCAACATTGGGTACCGACACGCGAAATTCTCGCCAATTCTGCGGGGCTGGGCGAGATCACAGCGCTTCTGGCAAGAGGATAAGAATCGTCGTGCGCCACCGGTATCCTGGCTTTTTAATTCTATCGGTCTTGAATCGTCGACAACTCTACACGGCACTAATACTTCTACTTTCTTTAATATCCCACCTCTAGGTCATTCGTTCTTTTTTTCAGCACCATGCATTTCAACAGTGTCCTCGCCGTGTCCGCTACCCTTTTCGCTCTGGGCCTCGCTGCCGACCCCTTGGCCTTCACCAGCTGGCCCAAGGATGTCCAGGCCGGCAAGCCCGTTACTTTGACTTGGGCCGGTGCCGCTCCTGATCAGGTACAATGAACAGCACCTTGTTTCATATACAGATGCTGATCTATAATAGCCCGTTACCTTGACTCTCCGTAAAGGGTCCGCCGGTAACCTTAGTGATGTGGAGGTCATGACTGCTCAAGGCAAGGACGGCACTTTCACCTGGACTCCCGGCAAGAACGTCAAGGAGGGCCAGACCTATGCCTTCCAGGTCAGCCAGGGTGGCCAGCGCAACTACTCTGCCCTGCTCAAGGCCGGCGCCCCGGTTCCCTCTGTCTCGGATACCACCGAGGATGGAACCACCGCCACTGGAACTACTGCTTCTGGCACCTCGGCGACAAGTGATGCCACCACCACCACCACCGGTACCAGCACTGGCACTAGCTCCGGCACTACCACCGATACTACCACCGGTGCTACTCAGACCACTGGCATCACCAGCAAGCCCCTGATCAGTTCAGCCGCATCGGCCACTCCCTCCAGCAGCCCAGCATCTACCTCCGTTGTTAGCAGCACCGTCACTTCCGATGGTCCCATGATGACCGACGAGTCCACTCACAAGAAGGCCAAGCACAGCGCCGGTGTCCAGAACGCTGCTTCGCCCCTTCAGTACTCCATGAACCTTATTGGGGGTGCTCTGGGTCTTTTGGTCTATCTGGTCCAGTAGACGTGAGAGGGTAGATTGGTTGAATGTATGGGCAAGTCACTAGTTTAAAATCATTCAAAACCTTCATGTATATAAACCCAATACCCCTTGATATCGAAAGGTGGCTTTTGATTGGCGTTAAGAGGTAATGAACTCATTTCATTGTTAGGGGGTTAAGGTGTTCACGATGATGTTTATCCACGGAAGTAGCTCGGCGGTGGAGCGTTCCTGAAAGTCAATAATTCGTTCCTGAAACAAAGCTCCATCAACTTTCCACCTTCAACCTTCAACCTCCCTACACAACACTAGATCTTCTCGCGTCACCTCTTTACTACTAGTCTCTCTGTTCGTCTTGTCTTATTTGGGGCTTTCATCGATGTCACGTTAAGCCCGAAACCCATCGCGACCTCAAATGAGTCTCGGCGATGATTAAGCGCCGAAATAAAGCAACAACTACCCATTTGGCCCAATTGAGATTTGATAAAGGTACGCAAAGTCCTCTGAACTTTGCTTTTGTCCTCCTGGGCTTCCTTCCCATCCCCGCCCATCGCCGTACTTCCGAAAACAGCGAGCCCCAGCCGTCAATATGGCGCGTCTGGGGCGTGCCATGCGCCGCTTCACCTCACGTCCACGCCTCGACAGCATTACTGACTCAATCTCCGTGATCTCTACAGAAGCCCCACAAGTCAATCTCCCACATGTGGACACTCAATTGAACATGCACCAATTCAACGGCTTTTTTGAAGACGGATCCACGGCCGCCGATGGCCTCAGAGGTTAGTCCCATTCTACGTTTTACTCGGCTTCAATGCTCATTCTGCCTCTTACAGATTCCCAAAGTTCTGCTTCCATACCCTCCCATGCACCCGCGAGCCCCGATTCAAACACCGAAGCTCCAACAGAATGGTCGGCCGTCGGCCACGCGGCTGCCACCGGCAAGTCGGGACGAGTCATTCACAACCTCCAAGAGGAAATCGCACGCTTGACCCGAGAATGCAACATGTACCGGTCGCGCGCGGAGGAGACGCAAAGGTCGAACGAAACACTCAAGATCCAAGTGCAAAACATGAGCGAGCGAGTCCGGAACCTGGAGCAAGTCCATGAGACCAACCTCAATTCGATCGCCCGCAAAGACAAGAAAGTGGAGGAGCTGCGCAACGAGCTACATAGTGAGCGAATTAAGCGCCAAGACGCGGACGCCAATGCCAGCAAGACCAACCAGACCATGCAAGACGAACGCGAGAACCACAACCGCGAGCAAGCCAAGACGCAGGAGATCGCCAAATTCCATGAGACACAGTACGAAGTTCTCGCCAGCACGACCAAGCGCGACAAAGCCGATCTCAGCAAACGATTCAAGACACTTTTCGCGGAACTACAGACCCTGGCACAGGCGCAGAAAACCCAACATGTGTCATTCGACCGACTGGACATTATTGCCGAGCAAAAGAACCGTGAAATTGACAATCTGAGAGAAACGAACGAAAAACTCCTAGCCTGCCATGCCGACTACAAGACATATAAGGACGATGAGCTACGCGGAGAGATCGAGCGCTCACACGCCAACAACGATAGTATTGAGGCAACACTTGCATCGATCAAAGAAGTGCAAGCACAAATGAGATGGGCGATCCAAATCAACGACATGGAAAAGGAGCGAAAAAACAAGAAAGAGGAAAAGGAGCAAGCCAGCAAATAAACCATTGACAAAGGTATCCCATGAGCTCTCTCAGATCGAAATATCCATCCTGAAACTGACCATGTCATCAGTCCCATCTACTCCACTCCACACTAATTCGTCCCCAAACTACATACATACTCGCATATCGCCCCGCGCTACTATTGATATTCCCCTCATTTGCGGTGCACGGCGTTCCGGAAGCGCAGATACACATCGCAAGGCTCGGTATGACTCTTTATGCCTTGAGCATTCGCTTTGTTCTTTCTATCCTTGTTAAATCCTGATGTTATGATGACCACTGCATTTATTCCATTCTGAAGACTGGCGGTCGATGGCTGTGCCTCGATGTGTACTACAGGTCTGTTTGTTTTTATTGATCATCTGTAATTTTATCTTAATTTTCGGATATTTACATAGTACGGAATACATTGAATACATTTACCCTTATACCCTTATTATCCACTCAAGCATTGTAATGACCAAGGTCTCTGTCGGCTGTCTTGTAGGTATAGATCCAAGGATGCAGTCATACTTTCGTTATCGTTCACCAAATTTAACTTCCATAGAAGATGATGGAAAATCTCTACCTATCGACTGTGGTTTGCATTTATAACCAATTGGTATATCTAACATTTGGAGAACGTTCAGAAAGACGTCTTTATTAAGGTCCAGAGAGATGTCTTGTAGAATTGTTGCAAGTTATTTTCATTTCCTATCCTCATATCTCACATTCAGCCTTCACTATATCGACTCCTCTTCCGCCCCCATCCTTCTAATTTTAAAGACTGATATTCGACCGTTCTCTTTCATTCCTTTCACCCGTCATTCATCCTCTATCAGAGAGCCAGGGATCGACTATGCTACTAATTCCTGGTTCAAGCCCTCCAAATCAGAAGGGTTTGCATCGTCCATCCATTGCCCTTTGTGATTTCTTTGCTGGACTCCTTCCGTTGCTGATGCATCAGGTGGCTTTGCAGATCTACAGGATTTGAATGGTGCATCCTCCACCTAAAACAAAAGGCTTCATTCGGCGCTATCTGATCATATTTTGGTGGTTATCTCCACTGAATCATGCATTCTAAGTGACGGCCTATTTATGGCCATTTGATTTGTTTTATACCTGGTCCGGCTTTAGTGTGGACTTCTCTCAATCACTGTATAATCTTGGAAACTTGTCTAGATAGATCTGTCCCATTCAAGGATATCTTACACTACACTCTACGATACGGTACGCACGTTTAAAATATAGCCTAGTCGATTTCCTATTAAAATAAGCCCCGTCTAAGTAGCCAAGCAATCAAGCCACTGCGAGCACGACAGCTAGGTACAGAAAGAAAGAAATAAAAAACACTCTCGAAAGAGAGAGCACTCCTGGCGCGACGACTGAAAAAAAGGGTGACAAGAAAGGAAGCAAGGCCAGAGGGATCCACGTGCAACCCGTCTGGCCTTTGGTATTTTTGATAGTTGAGGGTATCGGTACACATTGCTCGTGATTAGGTAGGCCGTGCATAAGATGTCGTGGTTAGGTGAGACGCGTATGCAGACGAGCCTGGAATAAGCTAGGCGAAGCTGAACTTACTCATTGCCGTAGGTCCAGCTGGGCTGGTTGTGTCCCTTGGGGTTATGCAGGTGTGTGGCGGGGCGGATGGCTTCGGGAGAGTTGTCGAACTCCTGGTCCCAGGATGATTCCATTTGTTTGATTGATGCAGCGCGGTCAGAAGAGATCGTCTTGTTCTCGCTGTCTGATTTGGTGGGTGTGGGTGAGCCGGACATCTTCCATTGCGCTTCGAGGTTGTTTCTTCGGCTAGCGTTGTTGCCGGTCACGCCTAGAGGTTCATTTTGCGATTTTGACTGGCCGGGGGTCGACTCGCCGTCTCCGTCGAACAGACGGTTCTTGTACAGACCTTTGCCGCGGTTTCCGTAAGAGCTGATGATGCGGTCGGCGTCACCACCGGTTTCGTCGTCGGTCATATCGAAATGCTTGTCTGCGTCTCGGCGTGGCTTGTTTACGGCCGGTCTGGCGGGGGGAGTCGGCCTCGCCGCCACTGTAGCCAAAGGAACGCGCCTCGTCGGTAGATTTGGGCTTGGGAGTGGCGACGTCGTCAAAGTCCCAATGGGCCTGCTGGCGCGACTGGGCACGTTGTGGCTCCTGCTTCACCTCCAGATCGGCATTGTTGGCGCCAATCTCGAAGTGGTCGTATTTCTTGGGGTCACTCTTGTAGTATGCACGATCCTCGGACTTGGCGTGCGACGCATCGTCACCGCCGATCTGGAAGTGGTCGTATTTCTTGGGGTCACTCTTGTAGAACGCACGATCCTCGACCTTGCTATCGTCCTCAAAGATCCGGTTGCCCTGGAACCTGGGACCAGCCTGAGCTGTCCCACGCCCAGCCTTTGATGGTGTGCCAGGCACCTCGTCGTCGTCATCTGTCACAAACAAATCACCGTAAGAGCGCGCGTTAGGCTGAGCACCGCCATACGGGCGCACCACTGCAGAGGCATCCCGCTTGCTGGGTGAGATAAGCTCTGTCAAAGACCCGGCAGCGTATGGGTCTTTGATATATCGCTTGCCATTGTGGCCGGGCTTGCGGGTTTCCTCTTCGCTCGAATTCGGGGCCTCGGTTTTGTTGGGGGACAGGAGATCGAAAAGGGAGTCTGCGGCGTACGGATCCTTGATATATCGCTTGCCGGGCGAGGCAGGGCGCGGAGGAAGGTCATTACCCTTGGACGGGGCCAGAGCTGGGGCTTCAGAATTCAGAGTTGCAGCGTTCCTGAGTAGCCGGATCTGTTCCTTGCCATCGCGGATGGGCCAAGCACGAGCGCTCCTACCGATCACCTGGACGGCCTTGAGGAGCGCAGCTTGGTCCCAGTAAATTCGAACCTGCTGGATCTCGTTTTGGGCATTGAATTGGACGATGTGGAGCTGCAGGAAGCTGCATTAGCGAGGATCGTACTTTGGAGGGAACCGGGGTAACGCGATCTCGGGGCATTTACCGTGGAGATGTTCGCGACGCTGTCGGCCAGGAAATTATCGTCCATCGTGGGAAGATAGGCACCGCCACCGTTGAACTTCAGGGTAACGTCAATATCGAGGCATAACGCGTTGGAGCTCTCGATCACACTGATAATATCCTCAGACTGCTTCTCCACGATTGACGCTTGACGCCTCACATGGCTAGCGACCGCGTCGGCGCCATCGATGCGAGTTGTGGTGGGGACATAGATCAGCGACACATTAGCGGCCAATGGCGCATTGCCCTTGTTCAGGAACTTCTTGTAGCTATCCTGAAGATAAGTCATGATTGCTATTGCTATTCCCAGTGTTGCCAGACAAGAAGTTGGGAGAAGGGGGGAAACGGGAGGATATCAGGGGGAAGGGAAAATGAGACAAACAGGCCGAGGGCAAACTACGGGGCCGAGACTCGAAGGTTGACTATCGGCGTGAACTGCTAGGGAAGGGATTACTGTTGGCCTGCATCTACGCGACGTGACGTCTCAGATACCTACAAAGTGTATGGGCCACTCCATACAGACGCAGGTACCAGCAACCTGAGTGGGCAACGGTTGACACTCGAGACGAATAGTAAATAAACCAGACGCACGGGGAACCCGCAAAACGCGCCAGTGTTTCAGCATCCGGCTGAGCCCCAGTTACAGAGCCACGGGTTACCCTCATCCCTCGGGCAACTCTCTCTTCAAGTTCGGAATTCCAGAATCCTTCCTTCGGAATGAGAGAGTTGTCTGAGTTATAGCCTGGTCTGCATGAGCGGATTTTCTGCAATCTGCAATTTTCTTTGAATCTACGGAGTGCAGAGTATGTCTTACGTACTACCTGTCTTCTGGCCGATCTTTCTAGACCTTTTTAACTCTCTCCCTCTCTCTCTCTCTCTCTCTCTCTCTCTCTCTCTAAAGCTATTTCCAACGTCAATTGACCCGGAGATAAGAGTCAATTTCTAGCTGTGTAATTGTACATGTTGAAATACTGTACAGCAAAGTGCATCCGTAGCTGATGTCTGGGTCCAGACCTCGGTCGATCTGCGAGCTGCGGACATGGGACATTCTCTTTTGGTTCTGATCAATTGAATTGATAGCATGCATATGTGAGTGAAATATTGGAATGCAAGGGCTGCTGTCGGCCTGCACTCGATTTTGGCTTCGCTCACTCAAATCAAAAAATCACATGCAAAAGATCGGATAAGTATCACCATCCGTGTAAACTCCCAGCAGCGCCAATTGTAAAGAGGTCTTTTTGTCTCCACGAGAACGTTTTGTTTCAAAGATTGGCCGCGCCTTCGGCAGACTGGTCTCGTGCGTAGATTGTAGAGTAAGAGGGTTGGGTATGTATCGCGACTCGTGTCTCATTAAAGGGGTCTTTCAGGAAATTAAGTTAGCATTGAGATCCTCAAAAGATGGAGATATCTCCTCACCCAAGGTAATCCTCCTTGATCGTGCCAATGGCGTTGATCGCAGCCACGTCGGGTTTAACACCAAGAATCTTCAGGCGCAAACTGGTTCCCTTCTCGATCACCTGGTCTGCATGATCGGTGTACTGCGGAGGCACGGTGTTCGGCTCCCATTTGATATCACCGGGGATGTTCTTTCAGACTCGTTAGTGACCGGACTCGTCAAGGTGAATTGACCGCCCATACCTTTCGAGCAATAAAAACGGACAGGGGACCCGCCAGAGTGAAGATACCAGTTGGCTTCACGGAGGTAACGACGGCGTCAACCTAATGGTTCTCGTTGTCAGCACAGAGTTCACAGAGCCAGAACTGAGAGCCACGGGCCAGAGCAGAGCCCGAATTTCACCACGTACTGTTTCTCCTCGGAAGGGCTTCCAGATGATCGCACGATACTTAATCGTGTACTCAGCATTTCCGCTTGACGGAATCACTCGTCCCTCGCCAATGTCGACCATGTCCATTACGCAAATCACGAAATGATCACCTGTGCACCGGCCTTCCTCCTCCTCGTTGAGTCGGGTGACCAGGTAGTCTCGCATATTAGGTCCGAAATAGGACGGATGCAGAGAAATGATCTTGGTCTCCTCCTTGAGAAAAAACATGTTTGCGGTGGTTGACGGGGGGTCGGCTGCAATGCGCAGTGGGGGGGTGAGAGGTCGTCGACGACGGCGCCGTGTGCGGCCTTGCAGCAGATATGGCTCGAGCTCTAGGGGTCTCTTTCTGTGCAGAAACAGATGTGAGGGAGCTCGGGGATTGAATTGCGCACCGGTGGTGCAGGATCGTGGTCAATTAGGGTGAGGTCGTTGACGGGCAACTAGGTCATGGCCTGAGGGCGAGGCAAGACAGAGAGTAAAGACTGCACGGAGATGGAAGGAGAAATGAACGACACTCGGGAGCAGATACGGTATCTGCCGGGAAAGAGGAGGCAGATACACCGATGCTGCGCGCTTTCTGGAGCTGAGATTGTCTCCGCCGATGAGGGACTCGGCATGGTCGGTCACGTGACGATAGGTATAATGGAAGAGCTCAACGCGACATGGAATTGTGATTCGATTAAAAGATAAAAGGCTGTAATTATCTTTTCATCATTGATTGGATTTGCCAGAGGGTACTTTACCGGGTTTATGGCTTTTGGTAAAATAATTTCTTAGCATTTCAATTCATCCTTATTCCCGCTATATATTTGCTACTCTATTGAGTTAACCACCAGCGTAGGAGACATTCACATTGTGACTGCAAGTTTATCCTCTCATCTAACACAGTTGAAAGATGACCCAGCGCAATGAATGACTTTCATTATCTCATATATTTATAAATGTCCAATTGGAGTTGTATTATCTTTCGACATTCGTGGAACTGTGCATTGAGGCCCAACCAAAACGATTCTCAACCAAGCAAGCCGATGGTTTAATTGAATTTAAAGAGTTTCTGAAGCTTAATACGTGTACTTCAATATCACAAAATATATCTTTCCAAGTTAAGATAGTGAAATTTCAACGTAGTACGAGATCTTACAGTCGGTGCCACTGTAATTGGCGGACCGTACAACACTAAAACACACCCTCGGCCCAAGCACATGACGCTCAATGGCGAGGCATTGCACCACTTAGCGCGACCGTATACGCGATGATGTAGCCTCACGCCTCCACCCCTCAACATTTTGATCCAAACGCCCACCTGCCCTTGCCCTGTCACATCAGCGATCAGTTCAACATGGCCCTTAACCTCGAAAAGCAGTTGCTCTTCGTGAGTATCCGAGTCTCCCGACTAACCCGGGACCATGGCTAACTCCCGCAGTATGGAGCTTACCACAGCAACCCAGTACGGAGCCCCCAGTTGATGAGTGATGGGACACATGGACTAATGAGCTGCACAGGTGAATGTCGCAATCCACATTACATGCGTACCGGCCTTGCTATTTACTGGAATTATCTTGGTAAGCTGGCTTGACCTGGTCCAAGACCGACCACTGATGCTTGAATCTTAGGCATGCAACTGTCCAACTCTCTTTAGCGTTCCCGACGTCATCTCCCTCGAATACCTTCCTGCAAATGCCGGAACGATCGGGGCCTTCATATACACCATCTTCTACGTATTACTCGAACCGGTGGCAGGCGGCCTGATCGCACCGCTGGTGATCGGCTCAGCAGCGTGCGGAAACTACCTTCTGGGAGAGTACGGAATGATCGTGAATTACTGGGCCGCGGGCATTCACGTCGTGTCCTGGCTCGCGCAGTTCGTTGGACATGGAATCTTCGAGGGTCGGGCTCCGGCATTGCTGGACAACCTTGTCCAGGCTCTTCTCCTTGCTCCGTTATTCGTGTGGATGGAGATTCTGTTCTTCTTCGGGTATCGCCCCGAGCTGAAACAGCGCTTCGACAGTAATGTGGAGAAGGAGATAGCCAAGTTCCGCCTGGAGAAGCAGCAAAAAAGCAAGGCAAAATGAACGATCGGCAGTGGACGAATGCGGATATCGCGGATATGCGGATCGACTTTGTTTTTGACTCGGTTATGATCGAGCGACTTGCGTTTTCATATCTCGAGACGGAAATTTTTAAGGGATCTTGAATGATGTGATCTGTCATGCCTGCAAATACCTAGCGGATTGGCATAGAATGGGCACGAGCTGAATTTCGGGTATCGGCCCAAGGCACGTCCTGTATTACCGAAGGACAGAAGTACCCAGGAGGTGAGGTTATGGTCCACCATAGCAATTAGAGGTAAACGACAATAACACCATAACACCATAATGCATTATATACCTCTCTCGTAGGTAAGAGGTACAGTAAAGGAACAGGGTCCAATGTATATACAGCTCCGGTTGCCGTGACGAAACGCATTAGCTAAGCGAATCACTTGACCAGGGAACCCGCAGATCCGAGAAGAGAAAAAAACGGGAAGGGCTGGCCCGCTTCGGAGGCCAGCTCGCCCACAGTCGTCAGCCCCAACCACGAAGGATAGGAATTTTTGGAGTCAAATGAGAGAGCTAGAATGGGAAAAAGAAGCTTGAAAAAAATGTAGTAGCTATGGAAGGTCGGGTATGGCACAGTGTAGCAGCAAGAAATGGCCAGCGTGGAGACGGGCCACATCGGAGAAGCCAGTGTCCGAAGGGGCTTAGCGCGAGTCCTGAGAATCCTGGCCTGCCCCCGACGACAAAGCTCTCCTTCCCACTCACACCTTCTCCTCCCTTCCCGATCTCCTCTCCCCAATTACATCTCTCCTTCAGAGAATTCATCCTCCCATCCTCTGAACCTCCTTCACAATGTTCAGGAACGCTCTGCGGCAGTCCAGCCGCTCCGTTGCGGCCGTCCAGGCCACCGGCCGCGTCGCCTCGGTGAGTTCATCCCATCCTGGCTATCCTCGTCCATCAACAACCCGACCTCTTCCATCTCGAATTTGAGCTCGATTTGTCCTCGGATCCATTTTCAACCCTCGCCCTACCCATTGAGGATAGCCTGGTCGACCTTTACCCCAATGGCCTCGTCGCTGACAAGTTTTTCATCCCCAGGTCCGCGCGGCTGTCCCCGGCCCCATCTCCGGCGCCTCCAAGCAGGTCCGTTCCTACGCCTCCGAGGCCAAGGCCCAGCCCACCGAGGTTTCCTCCATCCTGGAGCAGCGCATCCGTGGTGTTCAGGAGGAGGCTGGTCTCGCCGAGACCGGTCGTGTTCTGTCCGTCGGGTACGTCAATCCCGCTAGGGTCGCATGAGAAAAATTCGATTCCCGGATTCAATCTCGCCAAATATGCCCGCAACAATCACCATACGACTACACGACGAACAAGAAACTAATTGAGATTTCGAACAGTGATGGTATCGCCCGTGTCCACGGTATGACCAA